AGAACGAAGGAATCTGGATAACCTAAAAGCATTAAAAAACATCCTAGGATATGGAATGAAAAATATTGTTCAAAATATAGTTAGATATAAATAAATGTCTAATGAATGCATTGTGCTAATTTGACGCAATTTATGAATTGTTTTTGTGAACCTTGCATGCTATGCTTGAGCAACTTATTTTTAATTCTGTGCAAACACAACAAGCGAGACAGAAAGTTTTTGCCTAATCTCCTGCTGTAATGAAGTCATAAGTTAGACGCATATGTAGAAAATGAATATAAATATAGACATAAAATGGAATAAAGCAGAGATCTCCTTCAACACCTGAAAAAGTTTGTTCGGGGTCCACGCAATCAGAGCCCCCAGCAGTCACTTGCTTCCACAGTCCAAAATCAACACCATGCCCCCAGCCAGACTCTACTGTCTCAGGATGGACCTCACTGAAATGCAATATGCTGAAAATTCAGGTATGAGGGTTTTGTGACTGAAATCTCCAGGCTCTCTGGGATTGGGAAAGGCTAATTTTCCCCACATCCCTGCACCTCTGCAAGCCCTGGCAGTCATGTCCATAATCCAAAACCACCACCCAGTTGCAAACTATAATGTACAAAAGGAGAGAGCAAGAAGAAATATGTCTGCCACAGAGCACGAAGAAATATGTCTGCCACAGGGACAAACAGGGGTGTACAGTGGTGGGGGTTGGGATGGGAAAGAAACCAGGGACATTGGTGGTGGGAAATATGCACTGGTGGAGGGATAAGTGTTGAAACATCGTATGACTGAAACCCATTCATGAATAGCTTTGTAATGGTCTATTTCATGGTGATTCAATTAAAAAAAAAGTGATGACTCCAGAATGTCTTTTTCTCCCATTTTCATTTAAAAAAAATTTTTTTTAAGTATTTGGGCCATACCTAGAGGTGCTCAGTGCTTACTCTTGGCTCTGCACTCAGGAATCATTCCTGGCAGCTTGAAGGACCATATGGGATCCAGGGATCAGGGATTAAACCTGGTCTGGTTGCATGCAAATCAAGTACTTACCCATTTGAATATCTCTCGGGCCCCACTTTTCCCACTTTTAAGTGAAGAGGATGAACTCAACCAAGGAGGTGGTATTAGAATTAGAATCTGATATTTGTGTTTTTCCCTATCACTACTTTCAGTAGAGTGAAAATCTCTATGAGGAAACGTGTGTGTGTGTGTGTGTGTGTGTGTGTGTGTGTGTGTAGATAGAGGGTGCTAGGGAACCATGCAATGCCAGATATTGAACTTGGGGTCTTTGCATGTCAGTCAAATGCTCTTTGAGCTATCTTCATAGCCCCTGGCATTCGGATTTTAAAATTGCATCCCGCCCTGCTTCAGGCTACTGGAACAAAACAGAATTCAACAGGAGCAGTTCTCTTAACGGCCTGCTTAGAACTGCTTAGAATTTTTGTCATGAGAGGTTCTCAAAGGGATAACAGAATTGTGCCTTCTATTATTACCACAGACCTATTTATTCATTTATGGCATTCTCTATGTGCCAAACACTGTAATTGATGCCGGCAATGCAGAGATGAGTGGAGCATAGTACCACTCTTGAGATTACCAGGGAAGCAAACAAGTGAAAAGCTGGTATGAATGGAATGCTATACTCGAGGTTAGAGTACTGAGCTAGAAGAAAGGTTGATCAACTAGGGTATGGTATGGGTGAGGAATACGTTTCAAAAAGGAAACAATACTGATTCTGAGCCCAAAATAATAAGTATGAATCATGAGATGGAAAGAAATGTGAATAAAGACTTTTTGGTACAAAAGAAAATGGCCCGTTCAGGAAAAAACAAGTCTTAAACCTGGGCCAAAGTACAGAGTAGCTCAAATTCTAGCTTGACTCTGGGTTCTTTTTCCCTGTCCTTTGGGGCTTGGGGTGGTGGGTGAGAGAACTGGTATGTACCCAGTGGTACTCAGGCTATGCCTGGTTCTGTGCTTGGGGTGGGGGTGGGGGGGGTAACTCCTAGTAGCAGCACTCAGGGACCAGACAGTGCTGAGGATCGAACCAGGGTCTGCAAGCAAGGCACTCTTGTGGATCTTGTCAGCCTTCTAAGGACTTTTTTTAGAAAAAATTTGAGAACTTTTGAGAAAAAAAAAAACATGGCTTTTAGATTTGCATTTTATTTATTTAGAGGGAGGGTGGGAGTGCACCCTCCCTGGACTACTTCTCCAATATGCAAAGCCTATACTCCAGGCCTTTGAGCTATCTCCAGGGTCTAGATTAGCATGTTAAAAAGATTCCTTCGGTTGAAAGGTGGAGAATTTAACAGGTAAAGTCCAGTTTCCTACATCTGAAAATAACAGTAGCTAGCACAGCAGCCCTTAGTTAACATTGATTGCAACAGGAAGCTACTGAAGACCTTAAGGAGACAAATGCTGTGTGAAGATCAGAAGAAAAAAATAGGATACCTAGGAAGTAGCTACAGGAATCCAGCTGTGAGGCACTTTGGGGCTGACTGAAACACTGGAAATGGCAGGTTCCGGGATGGACTGGGGGTGCAAAAGTATCAAAGTCCAGATTTCTTGACTTGAACTATGCAATTCAATTAATGGTTCCAATTACTAGATGAAAATCAGTTATTGAGGCTCTATTTTGAAAACAGATCTTACTTCATATGTTTTCCATGGGCAGGGCAGGAATTCAATCCTAAGGAGGCAAAACACAAAGGCACTGCCCTAAACAGTAAAGTATTCCATAGCTTGTCCTGGGAATACCAAGAAGGAGTATGGGAAAGGAGTGAAGCAAAAGCTAAACCCATTTCGGAGCTCAAGTCTAGAAGTGTGGGTCTAGGTGAAAGAGAACGGTTAGAAAAAGGGAGTGACTTAATCAGACGGACAGTGGGGGAAGAAAACAAACAAACCAAACCTGCTTTTTTTTTTTTAACAGACTGTGGAGCGGACAAGGAAAAAAAAGAAAATCAAACTGGTTGTTGCACAGAGCAGTTTGTGGGGGGACCAAGAACGGAACTAGTGAGACAGTATTGATGGGGGGCTGGAGCGATAGCACAGCTCGCCTTGCACGTGGCCGACCCGGGTTCGATTCCCAGCATCCCATATGGTCTCCCGAGCACCACCAGGAATAATTCCTGAGTGCAGAGCCAGGAGTAACCCCTGAGCATCACTGGGTATGACCCGAAAAGAAAAAAAAAAAAGAAGAAAAAAGACAGTATTGATGTCGGTGGGCTGGAGCGATAGCACAGTGGGTAGGGTGTTTGCCTTGCACACAGCCAACATGGAAAACCCGAGTTCGATTCTTCCACCCCTCTCGGAGAGCCCGGCAAGCTACTGAGAGTATCTCGCCCGATACGGCAAACCCTCGCAAGCTACCCATGAAATATTCTATATGCCAAACACAGTAACAAGTCTTACAGTGTTACTGGGCCCGCTCAAGCAAAATCGATGAACAATGGGAGGACAGTGGCCGTGATTGATGTCAGTGGGCCCCACAGGTGACGTGGGAAGGAGAAAGACGATCACTTTCCTGATCCGCCTCTGCCACCTGGAACCCAGGGTTACTGGGTTCTTGTCTCGCCTGGCAGAAAAGAATTTCAGGAGTAGACAAGCAGTGAAGTAAAATAGATTTTATTTGGAGGTTTCGAAGGGAAGGAGGGAGAGAAAGTGGAACAGAGAGGAGCGGGCTCAAGAGAGAACCGGGGTTTCTCCAAGGGCAGAGAGAGCCCCTAGATACATCCCAGCCACAGACATGAAAGTACACATCTCAAGAAGGGAGCTGCAGCGCCAGTGCTCAGCCACCTGGGCGCAAACAGCACAAGGGCTCAGGCAGCATATGCTCGCCCTTCCTTTGCTCAGGGTGGCTCTTCTGGGGTATCTTCTCCGCATCTCTTGGTCTGGAATGTTCTAAAGTCTTCTCTGGGCTGAATGGCTAGTTAATCAGATTAAGGGGGAGGAACTTCCTCCATGAGGACGGGTGCAATCTCCTCAGGATCTTGTTCAACCTTAGGACTTTTACTTCCCAGGAACTTCGTTTGTAAATTCCTGTGGCTTTCTTCCCTAGAAGCTTCACTGCCATGGACCTCCCCCCAACCGCCCTTTCCCTATCCATCTGCCTGCCTACATCAGTTTCAGACAACCCGAGGCAGGCGGTTCCAGGTGCTGAAAAGGGAGCAGTGGGAAACACACTTGCAAGTCACGGAAGAAGGTCCTGTGGGAACAAACAGAAGTGGGCCAGTGGGCCACATCAGTGGGGGTGGGTGGGGGTGGGGAGGAAGACAAACAACTCTGATTCATGAGCCTTTCCACAGGATCCTTCAATCCGGCCTGAATCATTCCAGGAACTGAATCACTTCAGTGTGGGGCGGTGGGAGGCACGGGAGGAGGTCGCATTCCCGGGTGGTGGGGGGCAACGAGATGCGGCAGCGGATCCGGGTTCTATCCCGGGCACTCCACGTGGTCCCCCGAGAACTGCCAGGGGGTGATACCTGGGGGCAGAGGCAAGGGTGAGCCCTGAGCACTGCCGAGTGTGGCCCCAAACCCCCAATAACAATAATAAAAATAAAAATGATGATACTAATGAATGAAATGACCCTGTCCGGAACCGGCAGCACGCCGGGGCCACGCGGCGCCCCCGCCCCCCGCGTCTCCGGCCGGAAGCGGTCCGTCGGCGGGCCGGCCCCCGAGAAACCTCGGCCGCCGCTGGGGAGGGGCGGCCCCCCCCCGCGCGGCCGACCGCGCCTGCGCAGGAGCCTTCGCGTCACGCGCCGCCGGCCGCTTCCGGTGCGCCGCGGGGGCCGCCGGGACGGGTCTCCCGGGCGATCCGGGGCCGCCGCCGCCGCCGCCGCCGCCGTCTTCGCGCAGGCTGCCTTCGCGCCGGGCCGCCGCAGGCGCCGGGGCAGGGACTCCCGCGCCCGCCCTCCAGCCCGCCCGTCCGCCCACCCGCAGCCGCCACCTCCTCCCGTCGCGACTCCGCGCCGTGTGTCGCCGCGCGGGGCCGCGGGGCCGGGGCTCCTCCGGCGCCCGGGATGCGCGCGCGAGCCCTGGCCGCCCCCGCCCCGCCGCCGCCGCCTGCAGCCAGCCTCGCGGAGCGCGCGCGCCCCCGCCCGCCCCGTCGCCTGGCCCGTGGCCCGGGGGATGTGAGCCGCGCCGCCGGCACGCCGCGCCGGGTGAGTTGCGGGCCGAGGGTCCCGGGCAAGGGCGGACGGCACGGGGACCGGGCGGGGGGCTGGGGGGCTGGAAAACTGCGGGTCTTGGCGGAAAGTGGCGTGCTCAAGGTCATAGAACTCTGCAGGCCCCGGTGTAAGGTATGGGTTGGCTGCTGCTGCTGCCCCTGCTTTTTTTTTTTTTTTTTTGCATTGCAGTTCTGAGGCCTCGGGTGCGAGAACCACCCTCGACCGGGGCTTCAAAGCGGGTGCGGTGAACGCACCCACCCAGCTAGCCCTTGCTGCGCTCTTTCAAGGTGGTTTTTAATGGCCCTCTTTTCCTTGTTTCCCTGCCAAATCCCAGGTTGCCTCTTTTTCTTTTTCTTTTTTTCTTTCCCCCTTCTTTAAACAGATGCGCTCCCGCAGTTACTGCATTTTCTCGGAAGACTTTCAAGGGCTGAGAAGTCAGTTACTAAGGGCAAAAGTGGCGCAGTTCCTACGTCGCCTTCGCTTGAACTCTCGCTTCCTTCATCCTTGGCTAGCCTCTCGCGTCCCCAGCCAAGCGGTGGGGTTGTGTTCTCTTCCAGTCGTCTCTGGTCGGTCTGCTTTGGGAGAGAAATGAAGGATTACATAGAACTAGAAAGAAGGGTAGGCATAGGCGGGGCGGGCTTAACCTGGAGTGTGACTTTAAATTGTCGGGGAAATTGTGGTCTGCATTTTTGTAAGAGAATCTTCCGAGGATTCATAATCATCTGAAATGAGCCTTGTCTCACACCAAGTTCGGAGCCACTGCATCAGCCACTTCATCCTCATGAGGCAGGGGAATTTAGGGCAGGGAACGTACTTGTCTGAGATCACTTACCTTGATTTGGAACCGGGTCTCCTGCTGTGACAAGGTGCTCATTTTCTCATTATACTTTATCACCTGTGGTTTGAGCCCCAGACAGCAGTGTGTGGCCCTTTCCGGAGAATCTTAAAATCTTGCTTTACAGGTTTTTAGTAGCAATTATATTCATTTTCATAAAATTACAAATTTCTAGGAACTTTTCTCCCACCAAGGATTGAGTCTTGAGTCAAAAATTTGGCTGTGAAGAATCTCATTCTGTGTGTGTGTCGGGGGGGTACACACACACACACACCTGGAGGTGATGCTTCCGTCCCATATGGGTACTGGGGATTGAACCTGTATCCACTCTGCAAGGCAGGTTCCTCACCTGAACCATCTTTCTGGCCCCCAAATGCCAAAGAGGTTGATGAAAAGTGCTGTGATTTAGAGAGTTGCCAATGGAGATAGGGAACAATGTGGTATAATGAAAAAAAAAGACTTGAAAAAATAAGAAATTTTAAATACAGAACGTGTCTTTCAAGCCTCTTTTTGGATGAGGTGGCTTTCGGCCGGTCATTACATTTCTCAGCAACAGATGAGTCTTTATTTTGCTGGGGTGGGGGCGAGGGAGCCCACACTTGATGATGATGATGATGATGCTGCTGCTGAGGGGTTTCTCCTGCTCTGCACTCAGGAATCACACCTGGCAGTGATGCCTGGGGTTGAACCTGGGCCAGCCTTCTCTGCTCTGCTGTCTCTCTGACCCCCAGATGAGTCATCTTTAATAATGAACTCTTTATGTAGCACTTCCCAGAAATCCGTGATATTCATGAAGCCTGATAACATTTCTTTGAATATCTGAGGGAATCGGACTTAAAGCAGGACCTATCAAAGGTCACCGCCGACAGAGCATAAAGAAATCTTGGGGCTGGGGTACAGTGGGTAGGGTGTTTGCCTTGCACGCAGCACCCCATATTGTCCTGAGTCCTGCCAGGAGTGATCCCCTGCACACAGCCTGGTGTGGCCCCAAAACAAACAAGAGCAACAGAAAGGAGACGGTATACTCCTAGCATATGCTGATCTAGCTTGATCCCCAGAGTGACATGATCCCCTGAGCATAGCTGCTGCCCTGTGGATGAGTGTGAACAGCACCCCATTCTCAGGCCCTTGCATTGAACCACCAGCCTGCCAGCCCAGAATTGCTGGTGGGACCGCTAGGCCTCCTGAGCACTGCTTGGGTGGACCCACCACCATGCCCCTCCCACCCCACTAAAAAAAAAATCTTTTATTTATTTATTTTTCTTTTTGGGTCTCACCCAGCGATGCACAGGGGTTACTTCTGGCTCTGCACTCAGAGAGTTACTCCTGGCGTTGCTCGGGACCATATGGGATGCTGGGAATTGAACCCGGGTCGGCCGCGTGCAAAGCAAATGCCCTACCCGCTGTGCTATCTCTCCAGCCCCCCACCCCCCAAAAGAAATCTTGTGCATATGAACATTTAAATGTATGTCTGGACTGCATGTTGGAAGATTTACTGAATGAGTCATTGAAGCAATTTGCTTAAGGTGATGGATGAAGCAGGAGGGGGAGGGTGTTTGGGCCGTACCAGTGGTGCTCAGGGGTCACTCCTGGTGATGCTTGTGGGACCCTGGGGGTCCAGCCAGAGTCAGCTGCATGTTAGGCAAGTACCATAACCCCTATACAACTGGCATTTGGGGGGGGGGGATTGGATTATTTAACTCCTGGCCAGGTATTTTTGCTTTTTACCATTGGGAAGTCTTACAAGATGGGGGTGATTGGTGAGAAGAAGGTCTGTTGTGTACATTCCAGGAGTGCATGTGAGTGGAAGGACAGTCTATAAACTGGTGACCCTAAATTTGCCTGTTGAGAGGACTCACTTTTTGGGCAAGCATCAAGTGTGCACATCTCAGTACCCTCCGTAGAGTCTGATTCGGAAGGACCACCCCCTGGAATTTGTTGGTGGATGAGCATCAGATTCTTCTTAAGATCTGTGGGGTATGAGAAATGAGTGAGCAGCAGGTAGAGATTAGGCATCACTGGGTTAGGAGGCACCTGCTTTCTTTGGGGGCAATCTTAACGCATGCTTGTGTTCCCGCCCCTCCAGCCATGGACGCATCGTATGATGGTACTGAGGTAACTGTTGTGATGGAGGAAATTGAGGAAGCCTACTGTTACACCGCCCCTGGGCCACCCAAGAAGAAGAAAAAGTACAAAATACATGGAGAAAAGGCCAAGAAACCCAGGTGAGCCAACGTACTCTTCTCTTCCTTTGTTGTCACTGTGTTGATGGGGTGGGGTGTGATGGTGTGATGGGGTGTGTTGATGGTGTGTGACAGCCCCTGCCGCCCCCCCCCCCCACCCCCCCCTACCCCCCCCCCCACCCCCCCGGCAGGGGCTGTCACACACATTGGGATGTGGTGGGCGGTGAACTTTGTCATGGAACTGGGGTTCCCAGACAGACAGCAGGGCTGCTGGAATTGGTCTCTGGGCAGGCAAGGCAGTGCCCAGCTTGGATTCCTGGCCTCCTACCTGTGAGGTAGCACTGTACCACTAAGCCAGTCCCTAGCCAGCACGTTTCAGTAGCAGCAGGAATTTGTAAATAGAAACTGCTAGAAGCTGTTGTGGCTTTAAGACTGTATCAGGGTTCATTATGACTAGTGAATACCATATCAGTTGTTGGCATCTCCGTTGGGGCTGTGATAGAGAGGGTGATGAAAACGGGAAGGTACCAGTGATCTCTGTAAACCGTGTCCAGAATTGTAGCCCTCATCTCCCTTTTAACAAGGAACACTCCAGACTTCTTCCTGCATTGGATGGTCACTTCTAGGTCTGCTTGCTTCCATCTCTCAGACTTGGGTCATTACTTTTGACCATTGAAATGACCAAGGGCTGTTCAGAGATGTGATAAGTATGAGTGATAAAAGGGGGAATCTTTTTTGGGGGGGGGTGGGGCTCACATCCAGCAATGCTCTGGGGTCACTCCTAGTTCTGCACTGAATAATTACTCCTAGCGGTGCTCAGGGGACCATATGGGTTGTTGGGGATTGAACCCGGATCGGCTGCATGTAAGGCAAATGCCCTACCGCTATAGTGTCGCTCCGGCCCAACAAGAGGACAACTTCCCTGAGAGAAACGACAAAGGGGGTGCATTTTGGGTTTGAAAATTTATCCCTGCATAAATGCAGAAGAGGTGGTCCGTGGAGAAGGGAACCAGACCGGCCTTTGCTTCCTCCTCCTGTACACCATCTGGGTTCTCCAAGTTTTTCCTTGTATAGATAATGCTCTTGGAGTATTGGAGTAAAGGGTCTGTTTGGTATTTAGTTCTTGGCTGCCCCAGCCCTCCTGTCATCTGTCTTTGCTGGCTGCGTGGTGCAGTGGTGCAGAGCCGTAAGGAGCCCTTGCCCCCTCAGGTCGGCTTACCTTCTGTACTATTACGACATCTACCTGAAAGTGCAGCAGGAGCTCCCCCACCTCCCCCAGTCTGAGATCAATAAGAAGATTAGTGAGAGCTGGCGGCTTCTCAGCGTGGCGGAGAGGAGCTACTACTTGGAGAAAGCCAAACTGGAGAAGGAAGGCTTGGATCCTGTAAGTAACTCGCCTTCCTGCGCTCCACTGATTCCTCCATCGCTACGAGGCCTTGGGTTTTGGTTTTCATGGCAGGATCTTGGGGAAACTAGTCCCCTACCTTCCCCCTTTAACATTTTCCTTATAAAAACGGATTAATTTTCTTTTTCTTTTTGATGTTCTCTCCTCGTCCACCTTGTCCACAGCAGTGCTGTTTTCTGAGTCAGTGAGCATCTGCTTATTCTCAAAGAAACATTAGTTGAGTCCCTCATTCTCATGGGTAGTTAGTTTTATTCTTTTTTGGTATAGTAGTTGAGATAGGTATTTTCCCCAACATAATGAGTTTTCGTGTGGTAAGTTGGATTCATGTAATTAATGTAATGTGACTACTATCAGTGGTCATATAATCAGCAATTAGGCTTGCACAGTTAGAGATAGATACAGCTGCTTTGTTATAATGCCACATTCTTCTGTTACAACTGGCGTGAAGCTAGAAACAGAAGTGCGAAGATGATAGAAGAGAGGCCATTTGGTGTCCTTAGATTCAAGAGCAAGCAAGGTGTTTAGATTTGGGACAGCCATTTTGTTCTAGCGTGTCCTCAGTGACAGAATGCACTGACAGCTCTTAATACAGCCACTTGGTTGTTTTTGAGACAACAGAAAAATAGCCTTGTTATTACATGTGAAGCCTTTTAGCCTTAACTTCTCTTTTCAACTGAAACAATTGTCAGACTTGGCTTTTGGTAAAAGAAATTTCTCAGAAGTACAGGGGCTCTTTTACAAATTCTGAATAGACCGTTTTTTTCCCTTAGTGGAGCCCGTCTTCATTGCTGTTTGTATGATGATGTTCTCAACTCTTTTCCTGTGGTGGCCACCTCCCCACGTTTCCTTCCAAGGGGACCCCCCCTTCCATCCTACCTAGTTTTGTATTCTGGCTCCCATGCGTGTGATTTTCACGTGTGGCCCTTCGGAATGTCCTGGGTGCCTACTGAGGGCTGTCCTGCTCCTGGCCGCTCAGGTGATGAAGTGACAAACAGACTCGGGCCAGCTGTCTCTGTGGGGAGTGGGGGAAGAGCATCCTAGGAGAGAGAGACATTCTTCCTTAAGTCAACATTCTTGAATTTTTTTAACTTTTTAAGATTCATTTTTACATTTAAAACACTTTTTTAAAGGACTGGGAATGGTATAATGAGTAGGGCACTTGTATTGCATGTAATCAGTCTGGGTTTGATCCCCAGCATCCCATATGGTCCCTTGAGCAACACCAGGAGTAATTCCTGAGTGCAGAATCAGGAATAACCCCTGAGCATTGCCAGGTGTGGCCCCAAAACCAAAGGAAAAAAGAAAAAAAAATTTATTAAAGAACTGTGATTTGTAAAATTACTGGTACTTGAATTTTAGACGTGTTTATGTTCTAGCACCAGTCCGACCATCATTATCAACTTCCCTCTACCATGGTTCCCAAGTTCCCTCCTGCCCTCCCAAGCCTGCCACTTCTATTAGATTTGCTGTTTTCCATCTCTGTCACTATGACTTAAGAATATGAAAGGACTGGCTCCAATATCAACTGGCTGTGACTTTGGAAGAATTTCTTGTCTTGGTTTGGATAGTTTTATTTACTCCCAGTGCTTAAAATCAATAGCCTAAAGCTTCTACCAAAGAGTTCTTGGCCAATAAGTATCACTCTTTAGTAGATTAATTGTCCAGTGACCCATCTCAGGAAAAAATGACTTTCCTTGAGCACCCACTTGATGCTCTACTTGGTCGCCAGAGCTCCTGCCGACCATCAGGGCCCATGGTTTCAGTGTTACTCTGGAGCTTTAAGATGAGTATCATCTTATACCAGAAAAAAAGGGTCGTTGATTAAGCCACCATATATATTTGCTACCATTTAGTTTATTCTTACTGACTTGGCTACTTCAAAGGATGACTTGAAAATGTCATTCCTTTATTCTCTCTTCTTAAAGGGTCATAAATCATGAAGGGTTTGGTCTGTCCCCTTTCATGTTTCATCTGAGTACTTTTAACTTCTATCTCTTAGTGCTGCTTTTGTGACTAATCACATCGACATCTTGCTTTTGATTTAAGGATCCTTTTGTAACTGACTTCGTGTTCCTTTTCAAAGATGCTTCTGAAATTATTTTTTGTACCATTTAATTTCAGTTTTCACTTTACAGTTCACTTTGAACTTTTCTGTTTCCCTTTTTGAGGCAAGTTTCAGTTTAATTTGGAAAAGGGGGAAAACACCTCTTCTTTTTGGTGCTGGTTCCGTCTGCATGGCTGCGCTCTGGTTCTGGGTCTTTGTGCTTCTCAATAGACGTGTCCAGAGTTCAGCTTTACTGCTCTCTGAGGATTTGGGGAAAGTTTCCCTCCTTCTAATGTGAAATTGGAATAACAACAGTGCCTAATAGTTTTGCTCTTCAGGTCAGACAGGTGGTTTCCAAAGTATGAAATCCTAGTGCAGTGACTGGTTCAGTTTTGGGTGCCTGGATCAGTGTCCTTTCTGTCATTTCCTGTGTGAGAGTGGGAGGAATCCACTGTAGCCACAGCGTGATTCCAATGAAGATGACGCTGCCCTTGACAGACACTGGCCCTGTGTAGGCCTTTGCTTAAGACTCATTCGGGTCCCTTCCACAGAAGAAGACTCATGTTGTTTGTCTGATTGTCTTCCCCCTCCTGCTTCCTCGCCCTCAGAATTCGAAGCTCTCTGCACTGACGGCCGTGGTTCCGGACATCCCAGGCTTCCGAAAGATTCTCCCCCGCTCAGATTACATCATCATCCCCAAGAGCAGCCTGCAGGAGGACCGGAGCTGCCCTCAGCTAGAGCTCTGTGTGGCCCAGAACCAGGTGGCCCCCAAAGGATCGTCTTTGGTGTCCAGCGCCGGCTTGGAGACAGTGTCTAGCCATGCAGGCGTGGCAGAGCAGTGCCTGGCCGTGGAGACCCTCTCGGAAGAGGTGGGAGGCCTTGCCCAGCCAGGCACTGTGCAGGAGGTGACCACCTCAGAGATCCTCGGCCAGGATGTCGTCCTGGAGGAGGCGTCCCTGGAGGTCGGGGAGAGCCACCAGCCCTACCAGACAAGCCTGGTAATCGAAGAAACCTTAGTGAATGACTCACCGGATGTCCCCACTGGAAACCTGGCTATCCCCCATCCCCAGACTGGGGAGAGCGTGTCAGTGGTGACAGTCATGAGGGTAAGTAAGTGACTTCGGTACTGAGGTTTTTGGCTTTATTTGGAATTACTAAAAGGACAGTAGTACTACACTGACTTTGGATTCTGAAAATTTAGTGTTGGTAAAACTCTGACCCCAGATTTGCTACAAAGTTCTATTCCCTTTCTCCCTCTTCCCTCCCATCCTTCCAGGGAATACTTGGGAGACCATATGAGGTGTCAGGGATTGAACCTAGGTTGGCCGCATGCAAGGCAAGTACCCTACCAGCTGTACTATTGCTCCAGCCCCTCTTAAGTTTCTTAGACACTTTACCCAACTCTTCTCGTCCAGCATAGCCAGCATTTTCTTCACAAGTGATAGATAGGTAACAGTATATAAAGTGGGGAGCAGGGGAGGGGCTGGTATTTGGGCTTTTTTATGAATCAAAGCCAAGATCTGCCAAGCAGTCCTGGAGTCAGTCTGTAAGGGTTCTAACGTCCTTGGGACTTAACTGGGAAGATTTCAGCAAACACTTGCATAGGTGAATTTTCCAGCGATCTCCTTGTAGACAGGAAGTAGGAAGAAGAAAGTCCTCTTAAATGCCAGCTTGCTGTAACCCGAGCCCAAGTGTGTGGAACTAAGACTAAGAAAGTGGTGGCAGGTTCCCCACAGTGGTGAGTGTGCCACACCCTGTTGGGGGAGAGCATAGTTTCGGTCATCCTATGTTTTGGCTGTCCAGAAATAGAGGGGCAGCCACCAGAGTGACCTGTCCAAGGAGCTGAGTTGTGTGCAGGCTGAGGGCCAGTGCACTGCTGCCCTGCACAGGTAGGAGCGGGCGCTTTCCTGGGCATTGGGCCCAGCGCTGGTGTCTGGTGCTGCTCTGTCCCGGTACTGACGATGAACATGCTGCTGGCCTGATCAGGACAGAGGGCGTGCTGAGAGGTGGGGTTCTTGCCAGCTTACATGATCTTGGGGTCTTAAGTTTCTTAGAACCTTAGCTTTTAGATTTTTAAAAGAAGAACAGCATATTCCCTGTTACAGTATATTTTTGTTTGTTTTTTTTCTATCTTTGTCCTAAACTGTTTGAGATCACAGGCTCTCTGGGTGTTTTGTTGTTGTTAGTTTTGCTTTTGCTTGTGTTTTCTGATTTTCTTGGCTGTTGGTTAGATCCCTGGGTATTTTTCCCTCTTAATAGAGTTCTCCTCCTCTGTGCCCACAGGACTCCAGTGAGAGCAACTCCTCGGCACCAGCCACACAGTTCATCATGTTGCCTCTTCCTGCCTACTCAGTTGTGGAGAACCCCACCTCCATCAAACTGGTCAGTGTCGGGAGAACTGGTGGAGGTTAGGGCTTCATGAAAATTATCTTCCAAATCATTTTCTGAAAGTCTTTCAAGTCTTAGGACACTAGAACCAGCAAAGGTCTCGGAAGATTCTGAGTTCTTACGTGTTGGTGGGGGGTGAAGGTCTGTGAATAGAGCTTCACAGGATCCATAGACTCACCTTTTTTTGTTCGTTTGAATTTTTGAGCCTCACCTGGTGGTGCTCAGGCCTCATTCCTGGCTCTGGGCTCAGGGATGTCTCTTAGCAGGCACAGGGGACCAAATGGGGTGCTGGGGATCAAACACTGGTCTGCCATGTGCAAGGCAAGTACCCTACTAGGTGTACCATCACTCTGGCCCTGGAACCTACCCTTTATACAAAGTTTTCTCCTTGAGATCTTTTGTCTGTAGTAGATTCCATGATTTTTCTCACATATGCAGACGCATATGTGTTTTAGAAAAATTAAAACTGATGTAATTCAGTTCTGTTGTTGCATAGATGAGAAAAAAAGTCTCAGAGAAGGACCTTATTTTCTTATGATTCAAACCGTAGGATACAAAACATACCAGAACAAATCTTAGTTTTTAATTTCTAAGTTATTGGGGGTTTTTTGTTTTTCCCCCAGTGCATACTGTAGCCTGGGCTGGGAATATACCTAAATACTATATTTCTTTATGCTATTACAAATGGTATTGAAATATTTTTTTACTGTTGTTCACACCAGAATATAGTAAAACAATTTTTTTTTTTATAATTTATTTATTTATTGAATCACTGTGGGAAAAGTTACAGAGCTTTCGGGTTTAGGTCTCAGTCATGTAGATACCGAACACATTTCCCTTTACCAATACTCATTTTTAACCCCGAACCCCAATAGACCCCCACCTCCCACCCCTCCCAATTCTTGTGAGGCAGATGAGTTCTAGTTAATACTCTATCTACTTTGACTAGATAGATTATTTCGATAGAAGATGCACAATTATTGTTTAGAGTTTACGACCCACCCCCCACAATCAGACATGCTGAAACAGCGTTGTGAAATGATTTGCTTTCTACAACTTGGTTTAAGAATAAAATGATGTCGCGTGGCCGCAATAGCGGCCGCGCGGTTTTGAATTTCTGCTATTTTACTTATTGACCCTGGAAGAATTTCTATTAAAAGTTAGCTAGTTAAGAGATTGGTTTCTGTGCCCTGGAGTCGTGGCCGTGCCGGAGAGCCGCTCGTGGGGGGCAGCTGGCGACCTCGGTGGCCCCCCTTCCCATGAGGTCCCCGCCGCTCCCCCGAGCCCGGCTCAAACCTGCTTTCCACAAGGCTCCCGTGCGGCCGCCATCTTTCTTTCCAGAGAGGCAGTAAAACAATTTTTTTGCTGGAGCGATAGCACAGCGGGTAGGGCGTTTGCCTTGCGGCTGATGGGGCCAACCCAGGTTCGATTCCTTCGCCCCTCATGGAGAGCCCGGCAAGCTACCAAGAGTATCTCACCCACATGGCAAAGCCTGGCAAGCTACCCGTGATGTATTCGATATGCCAAACACAGTAACAAGTGTCACAATGGAGATGATACTGGGCCCACTCGAGCAAATCGATGAACAACGGGAGGACAGTGACAGTGAGCAGTAACAGTACGTTAGCCGGTACCTGGGACTAGAGAGATAGTACAGAATTTAAGGTGTTGACTTGATCTCCCCAGCAAGTGAGGTAAGGCCCAACCCCCCCAAAACTAGCAAACTTGTATCCTGTCACTGTGTTGTGTTGAACTCTTTGTGCTCTGTAGCCTTTTTGCTGCCAGTGTTACCTTTTCTACATAAATGATACATTGTATATGAGTAAAAAGGAGCTTGGTTTCTTTTTGAGGCATGCTCTTTTTTTCCTGCCTTACTACAATCTAAGGCTTCCAGTTTTGCTTTAGGTTTTGGTTTTAAGCCAGCAGTGATCGAGCTTTACTCCTGGTTTGTTTACTTGTTTTGGTGCCACACCCCAAAGTGCATCCTGGCTCTGCGCTCAGGGATCACTCCTGGCTTTATGGGGTGCTGAGGATCCGATCCATCTTGGCAGCATGCAAGGCAAGGGCCCTAGCTGCTGTAATATCTGGACTTGATGGCCAGTATTTAATTGAGAGCAAGATGTCTTTGTTTCACTCTTCATGTTAGGGCGAAGCATTCAGTCATTGGGGAAGGGGATTGCTGTCCCCATCCAGTGTTGCTTGGGGGATCTTGTGGTACCAGCAATCATACCTGGTTTGATAGCATGCAAGGCAAAGTGCCTTAACCCCTGTGCTGTCTTCCTGGTCCGAAAGCATTCTTTCACCAGCAGGTATATTAGCTACAGGTTTTTCATGAACACATGTATCAAGTTCATGAAAAATTCTTTTCTGTTCCTGACTTGTGGAATGGGGCTGGAGCAATAGCACAGCGGTAGGGCGTTTGCCTTGCACGCAGCCAACATGGCCGACCCGAGTTCAATTCCTCCGCCCCTCTCGGAGAGCCCAGCAAGCTACCGAGAGTATCCCACACGGCAGAGCCTGGCAAGCTCCCCGTGATGTATTCGATATGCCAGACACAGTAACAACAAGGTCTCCAATGGAGACGTTACTGGGCCCGCTCGAGCAAATCGACGAACAACGGGAGGGCCTTTACATTTACCTTTACCTTTTATCAGGAATGAATGTTAGGTTTTGTCAAATGCTTTTTCTGTCTATTGAGATAGTAAATGAGTTTTCTTTTAGTTTAATGTGATTAATTTCATTATTTCCCAAATGCTAAACTAACCCTGTATTCCTGGTTTTGAACTCTTAAGCTTAATATTGTTGGATTTGATTTGCTAAACTTATATTCAGAAATTTTTTTTTTTTTTTTGCTTTTTGGGTGACATCCTGTGAAGCACAGGATACATTGTGTTACTCCTGGCTCTGCACTCAGGAATTCCTCCTGGTGGTGCTCGGGGGACCATATGGGTTGCTGGGAATCAAACCCGGGTTGGCTGTTTGCAAGGCAAATGCTATACTATCACCCCAGCCCCTCAGAAGTTTTTGCTGTATGTTTATGGACATCATTAGTCTTCAGTTTTCTTTTTTATTACAATCTCGGTCTGGTTTTAGCATTCAGGTAAACTACCTTAGAGTGAGTTAGAAAATATTTTCTCTTGTTCAGTACTCTGAAGGAGTTGGTGTAGTGTTTTACTATTTTTCTTTGGAGACCAGTCCTCTCACTGAGTGTGCCAAGTATATTTCTCTTTAACTTACTTCAGTAGCATATCTTCTAAAACCCTGTTGTGGAGAAACAATACATCCTTAGATATGCTACAGGTTTTTTTTTTCCTTTTTTTTTAAATTTATTTTTTTAATTTTTATTAGTGAGATACCATGAGGTACAGTTGTAGACTTACAAATTTTTGTGCTTGGGTTTCAATTATACAATGATCAAATACCCATCCCTCCACCAGTGCCCATTTCCCACCACCACGGATCCCAGTATCCTTCCCACCCCCTATCCCCCCAATCCCACCCGCCTCTGTGGCAAGGCATTCACTTTTGTTCTTTCTCTCCTTTTGGGTGCTGTGGTTTGCAAAAGAGGCATTGAGTGGCAATCATGTTTGGTCTATAGTCTACTTTCAGCATGCTTCTCCCATCCTAGGAGAATCCTCCAAACTTCCTTTATTTGGTGCTTCCTTCTCTATCTGAGCTCCCTTTTCCCCTAGCATGTGTGATTGGCCTCCAAGCCATGGAGCAAACCTCCTGGTACTAATCTCAGCCACTCTTGGGTGTTAGTCTCCTATTTTGTTACTTTATGTTCCCCAGATGAATGCAATCTTTCTATGTCTATCCCTCTCTTTCTGACTCATTTCACTTAAGCTACAGTTTTTTAAATAAGAGTCACTATAACCTGATGAAAGTGCTTAGTTCTCCTGAATCTTTGTTTTCCTAGAAATTTCTGTTCTTTGGTTATCCAGTGTCATTCAAGCTCTTCTAGAAGTGTTTTATGAATAATACTCAAATGAAACATTACAACTGGGACTGTAGCTTGGTGGTAGACAGGTCACTTGCACTTAAAGTGTGAGGCCCTGAGTTTGGCACCCCCCACCCCCCCATACACACACACACACACACACACACACACACACACACACACAGAAAAGAAACCAACAAGTGACGATAGCATCCTCATCATTGATCTCTTCTTTTTCCAGGTCATTGTATACTTTTTTAATATTAATTTATTTAGCTTTTTTTTTTGGTCATACTCAGTGAGGCTTAGGGGTTACTCACTGGCTCTGTACTCAGGAACTACTGGCGGTGCTTGGGGGACTATATGGGGTGCTGGGAATCACCCCGGGTCAGCCGCGTGCAAGGCAAATGCCCTACCCCACCCGCTGTGCTATTGCTCCAGCCCCTTTAAATTTATTTTTAACGGGGCTTCCCACGGAGTGCTTAGTGGGTTGAGGGCCACTTCTGATGAGACTGAGCCAGTGGGCAGACAACTGAGTGCTTGTGTCTGAGTAGAGGGTGCTGCTCAGCCGTGTGGGGACCGCCATGCCCAGCAGTGCAGATACGAAACCCTGGTGAGGCAGGTCCTAAGCATTACTTAGGACCATTTCCACGTACAAGGTAATTTACTTATAGAATTAGCTTAACTTAAAATCCTTACCCTGCCCTGTCAGGCCAGTCTGAGCAAAGGTGAGCTGTCTTTATCCCCTAGTCATAAGCCGGTCTCAAACCTGTCGAATCTTCCAACCCGCTGAGTGATATGCTTCCTTCATGTCTTGTTTTGCTCCTCAGGGTTCATCCACGCAGTAGAAAGAACAGATGGTTCTCGCATAGGAGGAAACCAGGGCCTAGGGTCTCACAAGACTCTCCCACAGGTCTTTCAGTGTTTATGGCTTTTATCCTGGTGCCAGTTCACTCTCACCTGTGACTTGCTGTCACTTCTGTGGCGTTCTGGCCAAGGCAAACTACTGTCAGCTTGGTGTTTCCCCAAGGGAGGTTTTTGCTTTTTTCTATGCTAGGGAAGCTGGAATTAATTGCCCAATAAACAGTCATAACTGACAGAATGAATTTGGCCAGAATGTTTTCTTTCTGGTGTTAATCTAGAAATGGAGCATGGCTACTTTATATTTGTCCCTGAAATGTAACCCATTGTATTACACTTTGTTCAAAGGGGAATCAGATAGGGCCAGTGACTAAACATATTTATATGCAAATAATTAAATACTGTTGAGGGCTCACAAGTGGTTTGGTGGGAAAGCATTTAACCTGCTTGTTCTACACCTGGGTTTATCTCTGCCACCAAAAGCAAACTGTTGAATGTCAAAGATCTGGGTTTTACTAAACCCATCTTGTCTTTTTCTTCTCTTTCTCTCTTTTTTTGGCTGATTTGGTTTGTTTTTGTATTTCTGAACACGGTCATAAATTCTGAAGTTGTTTTTTTGTTTTGTTTTTAATTTTGAAGTTTAACTGAGATAAACTTTTTGAAATACTCAGAGCCATTGAGCGGTATTGATGAGTACTTGGAAGAAATCTTTTGCCAAGAACCGGAGAGAACTGGGTTCCAACTCAGACTCCCATGGACTCACATGGTGCCTCCTGGGCCCTTGGTAGCAGCTGTGACTGAGTCACATAGCTGGGGAATCTGTGAGGTGCTGGTGAAGTCGCACCCACTCACTAGCAAGTTTTACTGTGTTAATTCTGCCATTACCTCTTGGGCAATTGTCTTTATCTCATTTGAATTCAGTTTTTCTGGTCAATAAAAGTGTACGCGGGACTGGGAATGTGGATGGAGCTGTGAGGTCCTGGGTTTGATCCTAGTACATCTACGTGCCCCTCCTACCAGCAGTATTTCTAGGAGGGGCTCTGGTGCCTCCCCCCCCAACCATCTGGTTTGCTATCCCCTCCCCAAATAAAAATACAAAAGGTGGGGATGAAGCGATAGTACAGCAGGTAGGGCATTTGCAACTCCCAGCATCCCATATGGTCCCCTGAGCACTGCCAGGAGTAATTCCTGAGTATAAAGCCAGGAATAACCACTGTGCATCTCTGGGTGTGATCCAAAAAAAAGAAAAAGAGAGAAAAACACAAAAGGTGAACTCTAGAATTCTAGACTCTTCCCCATACCAAGCCCATAAATCGGCTTATCTTTCTTTAAGCTGTGTTTGGTTGGCATGGCCACCGGGATGGGAGAGAGTAGACTGTGCTGTTGACCCTGGTTTGCTCTTTCCATCAGACCACCACGTACACACGTCGGGGCCACGGGACGTGCACCAGCCCAGGATGCTCCTTTACGTACGTCACCAGGCACAAGCCACCTAAGTGCCCTACCTGTGGTAACTTCCTAGGAGGGAAGTGGATCCCAAAGGTAAGTTTGTTCTCAGTCTGCTTTGGAAGCTCCCTAAGTAGATTTCCTGGTCCCTTTAACAGTAGTTCACTTAAAGCTCATATTCATTTTAGTCTTTTGAAAAATCGATCTCAGTGTAGATTTTTTCAGTAAGAAGATGCTGGCATAATAACTCAATGGCCAGTGGCTCATGCCTTGATGCTCTGGTTTGGTCACTGGCTTCACATAACCCATGAGCACTGCTGGGTGCAGCGCTGGGCCTGAGCATCGGGTAGTTGGCCCAGTTGGCTGAATATTCCTGGGAGTGGCTGAGCACTGCTTGAGAGAACACCCCAACCCAAATACGTTATAAAAAAGAAATGAATAAAATGTTACCCATAATTTTCTATCATGTAAAGAAAAGCCATTACTTAACATTTTGATGTATTTTCTTCCCTTCCCCCCGCTCGTGAATGAATGTATTCGGTTTTTTTCTATTCCCTGTTTCATTTAATATATTGTAACATTAAATGTTCTTCAAAAATGCAATTGGTTCCTAACTTCTCTTTAACATACTTTTTCCTGTTAGGTAAGGGATAGCAATTTTTTGCAGCCTACCCTCTCCACTGATTTGTTTAGTTACTTAGGTCCATATCTGATGTCTCCTACTTCAGAAGCTGGTCAGTGTCCTCTAGCTTCTATTAAAAATGGAGGTTCTTAACCACCCAGTAGTTGAGGTTGTTGGTCTGACTCTGACCATTTCTGAGAAAGATAAATGAGCAGCAGTACCACCCATTTTTTTCCATTATTGGGTTTTGGGGCCTCAGGGGTTACTCCTGGTGAATCAGTCTCAAGTCTGCAGCATGCCAGGCAGACACTGTAACCCCTGTACTAGTGCTCTAGCGTCACCCTTTTTTTTTTTTAAAGCAGTTTGTTGTACGGTTGACACCACATAAATCAAACACTTTTTTATATGAGACTTCAGTTTTTGTACTTATAAAAAGAAATGGACTTCCTTCCAATATTAGAATTTCTGGAGGTGCAGCCCTTGCCACCAGCTGTCCAGTGCCATCCCGTTCTACATAGAGCCCTGTACCCCATTCCCACCTCCCAATCACCGCAGCTCTCCCTCAGTCTAGGAGTTAGCTTTGTCAGGATTTGCTAGTTTTTCATATTTCACCAATGAAACCAACTGGTAATTGACTTTTACTTATTATTTTGTTTACATAATGACCCACAAAACATGATTTTTTTTTTTTTTAATCAAAGTCTGGTCCATCGAGCCCATATTGTAGCTTCTTTAGTTGTCTATAAATGGGCATTCCATGTCTTGGCTATTTTGAATAATGCTGCTTTAAACATAAGGGTACAAAGAAGTATTTTCTATCCTAGGATCAAATACCTTGAAGTCTGTTACTGGGTCTTAAGTTATTTCCTCCCTCCCTCGGGTTAGATCCCTGCCTCCCAAGTTTGTAGCATATGACCTTGGGCAAGTTGATACATGTTTCACCTTGGTTAAGATTTCCTTTTAATTGTAAACGGAGTTTAAATTTTTTAACTCAACTAAACTTTTTTTTTAACTTTTTAACAAGGAATGTGTGCTTTGCTAGGATAAGGTTATGGGGAGTGGATGGTGCGCTTCTGTGCTCAGGGGTCCTCCTGGTATAGAGCAGGGCTGGCTGCTGGCCGGGACAGTCATGATGATTGTCCCCTTGTGTGCTCGTTACGGTCTCACTGCAAAGGCTGGGAAAGAGACTAGTGCTGGTATCTCTGGAGAGTCTGTCAAGTTTCATGCCTGCTTCTCTTTTGTGCCGCTCTGCAGCCCCTCTTCAGACTTCCCCAGACCTTCTTCCCTGATTGCAGTTTGCAGATTGAATTGGGTCATAGTTGGACTTCTCTTTGGCTCTTCAGGTGCACAGCAAGTCTTTGAAATGACCTCATCACCTATGCTTTTGTTTGAGTCCTGCTGAGCAAGTGGCCTTGTCTCTTCTCATCTCTTTCCTTTTCTTTTTTTCCCTTTTTGGTTTTTTGCTTGTTTGGGGGTTACACCTGGCAGTGCTCAGCGTTTCCTCCTGGCTCTCTGTGCTCAGGAATCACTGCTAGCAGTGCTTGGGAGACTATATGGGATGCTGGGGATTGAACCTGGGTAAGCCACAAGCAAGGCGAGCGGCCTTGTGCTCTCTAACCCTGTTTGTATTTGTTTTTAACTTTACCTTGTTTTCAGCATTTCTTGCTTTCCCCACTTAAACCAAAATAAATTTTAAGCCATGGTTTTCTGAGATCAAATTTATGATGTGAAAATAAGTTCTTTTTTTAAATGACTTACTCCCCATCTTGACTTGCTGAGTCAGAATATTTCCCCAGCGACTTTTGCAGGAGCTACCATATAGTTAAATATTGTGATTTCCACATCTCCTAGGATTATAAATCAGTAGGAAGAGTGCCCTTTCAGTGTGAATGCACGCACCATTCTAGAGATAGTGACTCTGCTCACCAACCACTTTAGTTCTTGGTATTTCTCAGGAGTTCAGCTGCGGGAGCTTAAGGTTTCTTGGGTTCTTATTTTTGAAGCGTCAAGTATAAATAGGTTCTAAATGCTCAAGTATGTTCATGCCAGTCAGGAAATGACTCACCTTGTGGCGTGTTGTTCTAGACTTCTTTTGGCTAAATTTAGTGCTGAAGTTCCCAGTGAGTTGAATGAGACAGAACTTTGTCTTCAAGGTTCTTTAACTTAACTGTGGGCTCTCAGCTGGCAGGAATGGGGTCTCTGTCTTTGTCTTCCATCTTGAAAGCAAGCATCATCTCAGAGGGGTAGGCAGGCCAGGAGATAGGTCAGAGGGGTTAGGGCTTGCTTTGTTAAGTCCCTGCTCCACAGGATCCCAGACGCAGTACTCTAAAGGCACTGCCCCTTCCACCAAACAGAAGAACCATAAGGGGCCAGAAAGACAATCCAAGGATTCAGGCACTGGCCTTGCATGGGGCTGACTCTGTTTCAGTCTCTGGCACGTAGAATGATCCCCTGAGCACAGCCAAGTATGGATAGAAAACAAAACAGAAAAATTTGAGAAGGAAATTTAAAGGGGTAGGCTAAATTATGGAAATATGACTTAAGGAGCTAGTTTTTGCTCATCTTTTTAGAATTTCCATTCTTCTAGCAAAGGATTTTTTTGCATAGTGTTTCATTTATTTGTATGTTAATAATTAGCAGTGAAGTCTTTACCTCAATTTTTTTTTTTTGGAGCGATAGCCCGGTGGGTAGGGCATTTGCCTTGCACGCGGCCGACCCGAGTTCGATTCCTCCATCCGTCTCGGAGCACCAGTTAAACTACCGAGATTATCCCGCCCACACGACAGAGCCTGGCAAGCTCCCAGTGGTGTATTTGATATGCCAAAAACAGTAACAATAAGTCTCACGATGGAGACGATACTGGTACCCACTCAAGCAAATCATTGAACACCTGTACAATGCTACAGGTGCTATTTTTTACAAAGAAGAGTCTTAGTCTAGAAAATGAGTTTAGTAATAGTTTAATCCCACCCCCCTTCATTGGTCCCCTCACCCCCAGCACAAATTTTTATTATTAATAGAAGTATCTATATCCGTCAAATCCTGATATTCAAGAATAGCAGCAAAATTACAGACTATTTCATTAGTGCCTAAGACTGAATTCAGGGTGCTCAAGGAGTGTTCCAAAATCTCAGAGATTTTGCCTAATTTGTCTCTTATTTTTCCACTTAAATTTTCTTTTCCTTTTTTTAATTTTATTTTTTATTGAATCACTGAGATAGACCCTTACAAAGCTGTTATTGATTAGGTTACAGTAGTATAGTGTTCCAGCACCCATCCCTCCATCAGGGTACATTTCCCAGGACCAGTGTCCCCAGGTTCCCTCCCATCATCTCCTACCCCCAGCCTACCCCTCTGGCAGGTACTTTTCCACTCTCTCTGTTTTTTGTCTCTGTCTCGCTGTCTCTCCCTCTCTTTCCTCCCCTTTTTCCTCCTCCCTTTTTGGGCATTGTAGTTTGCAATTTTGATACTGAAAGGTTATCAAGAATATTCCTTTACCTACTTTTAACACTCAGTTCTTGTCAGGTGTGATCATGCCCAGCTATTATTGTCATACTGGTCTCTATCTTACCCATCCTCTGCCCCACACATACTTGTTCCACTCACATTTCATCTCTAGCAGTAAATAAGCTCAGTGCAATTTAATCTGGAAGCATTGCTCTATCTTTATTCATCCTTGTGACCTTTGTGTCTTAGAATCTTGAGAAAGCTGTACTGGGGATTTCTTTTATTTTTCCCTTTTTTGCACCATACCTGGTGAAGCTCAGGGCTTACTTCTGGGTCTGCACTCAGAAATCACTACTGGTAGTGTTCTGGTAACCATATGGAAAACTGGGGATTGAACCTGGATTGGCTGTATGCGAGGCAAGTGCCCGACCCGCTTCTGTGCTGTTGCTTCAGGTCCATCTTGGGTTTTTCTTTTCCTTTTTCCTTTTTTCCCCTGGTTTTTGGGCCACACCCTGCAGTGCTCGGGGTATCTCTCTTGGCTCCACACTAGGAATTTATTGAATCACCATGGGCTGGAGCGATAGCACAGCGGTAGGGCGTTTGCTTTGCACGCAGCCAACATGGCCGACCCGAGTTCGATTCCTCCGCCCCTCTCGGAGAGCCCGGCAAGCTACCGAGAGTATCTCGCCCGCACGGCAGAGCCTGGCAAGCTCCCCGTGACGTATTCGATATGCCAGACACAGTAACAACAAAGTCTCCAATGGAGACGTCACTGGGCCCGCTCGAGCAAATCGATGAACAACGGGAGGGCCTTTACCTTTATTGAATCACCATGAGAGCAGTTACAAAGCTTTCGGGTCTAAGTCTCGGTCATACAATGAAACACCCGTACCTTCACCAGTGCCCATTTTCCACCCCCAACAACCCTAGTATACCCCCATCCCACACCGTTCCCCTACCTGAGGGGCAGATGATTTCCATATTACTCTCTCTCTACTTTGATCACATTCAATATTTTGACACCAGACCCACCATTATTATTTGAGATTTTACCCCAACACTCAGATCTGCCGAAAAGGTAACAGTAGACAATTTCAAAATTTTAACACTTAAATCTGGAGGGATTTCTGCCAAAACCTGCTGAGTTCCAAGATTTGCTCTTGAGTCTCTGGGATCATGGCCATTAAGCAGCTTCATCAGGAGCCAGAAAGGTCATTCGTGGGCGATGACTTGGGGTCTCGTTGAGGTGGGGAGGACAGGACCGGCTCCACCCCCATCCCGTGAGGCCCAAAATGTCTCGTCACTGCGAATGCTGGGGATTTCTTAAAGGTCCTCTGTTAATGGTTCTAACCAAAGGGAGTGTGCCACCAGGGAGCTTGGAAATACAAGGTGTGAGTGTTTTTTTGTGGGGGAACCACACCTGGAAATTCTTGGGAAAAACTCCTGGCTCTGCTCAGGGCTCGCTCCCAGGCATGTGGTACTGGGCAATGAACTAGGGTGCCTTGCATGCACCCAAACTAACACTTTAGATTTTCTCCCTGGTCCATTAAGGTTTTTTTTTTTTTTTTTTTTTGCAGCTAGTGACTAGAATACTAATTTTAGACATAGATGCTAAGCATCCTGCAGTGTCAGGGAGGTCAGGAAGAAATGGCCCATCTGTGGGCTGGAGGGAGAGACACCTCAGTGCTCTGAGCACATACTTGCCATGCAGGAGGGTCAGGTTTAATTTTCAGCCCTTTGTGGTCCCCAGGCATCATCAGGGGTGATACACCAAGATGGGAATAATCCATGAGCATCACCAAGTGTGGTCCAAACAAAAATCAAACAAAAAGAACCAGGCCCTCTAAAATGCTAACTTCTGTTGGCTGTTACTGAGTTCAGCTATCTCTTCTATAATTTTTATAATGGAATATGAGGTTTCAGATGAATCTTGCCTTAGGTCACATGAATAGTTAGAAGCTGAACCTAGAACTCATCCTTTTATTTCCATGGAAGAAACCTTCCTAAGACCTATCCTAGAGAAAACCATTTAGTTTTCTTTTAAGTTTGTGTCTACATATGCGTGTATGTGTATTTACCTGCTGTGTTTCCAAGTGTGATTTTGGCACAGAAGCTAAGGTGTCTAAGGTTTTTCTATATAGTTGAGAAAGACACTCCTGGACCAGATGGGCCACCCCCAGCTGAGGGTACCACCACCTCTGGTCCACTCCCTGTTTCCCGAAGAGCTACAGGGTAAGCTGAAAATAGCAACTGCTATTTTCAGAAAAACACTTCGAATAGCATTTAATTGGATCTTAACACTCAACCTGAATGAATCTGGGACCCCAAAAAGGTTTTCTCTGTGGAGTTGGAGACATAGTGTCTTTCTTTGGAAGAGTTGAAACTTGGAAGGAGGTCACCACAATGAACAACTGGGGGCTACTGGAGTCACGGGGTCCAGGGCCAGACCCCAGCAGCACTTCCAGTGAGCCTCCCTTACCCTGCGTCCTAGTTTCCATCGTCTGCTTCCGTTACGCTGCTGGAGTGAGAATGAATGGAAAACATTTATAAACGTGTTTTCAGCTGTATCATGTCAGATGCACACATTATATATGTATATATATATATATATCCATATATATATATATCCATATATATATGGTTTTTTTTTTTCTTCCCTAGGAAAAGCCAGCTAAAGTCAGAGTAGAATTGGGGTCTGGTGTTGCCTCCAGAGGCTCCTTGGTTAAGAGAAATCAGCAGACTCTCGCCTCCGAGCAAAGGTCCCCGAAGGAAAACGCCTGCAAACTGACTTCAGAGAACTCGGAAGCTGTTACCCAGCTACTAAATGTGACCCCTACGAAAGAATTGAGTGAGGACAATGAGTGGGAGGGAATGCTCATCTCCGATGCCCAAGTTGTGGTTAAGGAAACTCCTGGAAATCGGGACACAGCAGTCACCAAAACGCCAGTGGTCAAGAGTGGTGTGCAGTCTGAGGTTTCTCTGGGAACAGTTGAGAAAGACACTCCTGGACCAGATGGGCCACCCCCAGCTGAAGGTACCACCACCTCTGGTCCACTCCCTGTTTCCCGAAGAGCCACAGGGTAAGTCAGTTTGTTTGGGTAATATGGGATTGCATTGAGAGCGGCTGGGGAACTGGCCCGAGTGTTTGGCCTCAGGTCCTTCAGGTGTTCCTGAGAGAGACTGCCGAGTCCCTAAGGGACTTTGAGATACAGAAACCTGTGGTGATGATTATCTGTTCATCCCGGGTAATCAATGCATGGGCTCTCCAGTCCTTACCCTTCTCCCTAAGCAGTTAGGTTCTTTTCATTTTGTTTTGTTTTTGTTTTTTTGTTTTGGGACCACACCTGGCAGTGCTCTGCATTCATGGATCATTCCTGCCAGTGCTCAGGGGACAGTAGGGAGTGCTGGGGATTTGAACCGAGGTTGGCTGTATGCAGGGCCAACATCCTGCCCACTGTACGATCGCTTTGGCCATTGCAGTGTTAGAAAGTAACTGTGATACTAGCTGATCCTAGAGGCTTAAGTTGGTAAACAGCAGCTTTCTGCAGGTACCCTATAGAGAGATTTCTGCCAGTAGTCAGAATTTAGGATGTTCGATTTTTCTTTCCCCCTTTATGGGTCACATTTGGCAATGCACAGGGGTTACTCCTGGCTCTGCACTCAGGAATTACCCCTAGCAGTGCTCAGGATGCTGGGAATCGAACCCGGGTTGGCCACATGCAAGGCAAACACCCTACCTGCTGTGCTATTGCTCCAGCCTCAGAATGTTTAAAAGTATTTTTTGTGTTACTGTATATAATGGGCTGCAGTGATAGCACAGTGGGTAGGACGTTTGCCTTGCACGTGGCCGATCCGGGTTCGATTCCTCCGCCCCTCTCGGAGAGCCTGGCAAGCTACTGAGAGTATCTCATCCACATGGCAGAGCCTGGCAAGCTCCTCGTGGTGTATTTGATATGCCAAAAACAGTAACATCAAGTCTCATAATTTGTTGTGAGACATTACTGGTGCCCGCTCGAGCAAATCGAGAACAATGGTAGGACAGTGCTACAGTGCAGTACATAATGAAAATGAATATGGAATGGAGGACAGCCCCATTTAAAATCTGAGGCCTGTTATTTGGTCATCAGAAGGATAGCAGAATAAACTTCCATAAAGCTAGCAAGAGTATCCCGCCTGCATGCAGAGCCTGGCAAGCTTCCCATGGTGTATTCGATATGCCAAAAACAGTAACAAGTCCCACAATGGAGACGTTACTGGTGCCTTGAGCAGAATCGATGAACAAAGGGAGGACAGTGCTCTACAGTCAGTGCTATTGTATGTTTCACCTTTTATGTTTTGTATCTTTGGGCAGTGCTCAGGTCTTACTTCTTCTGGCAGGCTTGGGGGCCCATAAGGAATGACGGGGATCAAATTCAGGTTGGCTACACATAAGGCAAACAACCTCCCTGCTGTCATATTGCTCCGACCCCAGAATTCAGGGTAGCGGTGCTCGTAGATCAACCCTAGGCCTTGTGCGCCTAGAGCATGTGCTGTGGCCAGAACTCAGTTCCTGTAGGGATATTATCCCTGGCTTCTATTGGACCTTGCGCGTAGTCACTTTCTGCATCTGATTTTCATTCTTCTCTGAAAAACCTTGTTTTTTTTTTTTTTTAAATAAAAAAACACTTCATACTGAAGTAGCCATATAGACTCCCAAAAACTGTGTGCACAACATACAAGCCAGTGCAGATCAGCACTTCCCTTTATGACTTGTTTTCCTCCCTGGTCACTCGGTTTGTTTTTTTATTCCTGGATCACAGCCAGTAGTGCTTGGGGACACCTAGCTCTGTGCTCTGGGGGGCTCCTGTGGGGCTTGGGGGATCATATGCAGTACAAGGCAAGTGCCTTAAGCTCTGTATTTCTCCATCCTGCACGGCCTTCTCTTTTTTAAAGACTCAGCTGACTTCTCATGGGCCAGGGTTGCTGAAGGCCTTGACTTGTCTATATCAGTGATTCTCGTTGGGGAGCAGTTTTAGCCTTGGAGCATTGCAGCAATGCTTAGACATTCAGGGATGTTACAGCTCGGACGGGGGTGGGCAGTGGTGAAAACCTTGCTCTTAACTCCAAGGGGCAGCCACCCAGGATGCCTTTGTGGCCCAGGTGTTAACAGTGCTGGGACTTCGAAATTCCAGTTTACACTGAAAAGATTTTACTGTTGTGCAGGAAGTCCTGGACAGTGTCATGGTTCAGGGTCAGCTGGGTAAGGCAGTACAGGCATCTCCCTTCTGTTCCTCTCTTCAGTCACCCATTTCCAAGGGTCAGTATTTCCAGCTCTGTTGCCAGAGATGATTGTAAGCTTATACAGATATATACATATTATTTACCCCTTTTTTAAAAACTACAAATTAGTATTCGATATGCCAAACACAGTAACAACAAAGTCTCCAATGGAGACGTTACTGGGCCCGCTCGAGCAAATCGACGATCAACGGGAGGGCCTTTACCTTTACCTTTTACAAATTAGTAGCATAACACTTAATAGTATCTTTCCCCCAGTGTATAAAAATCATTGTGTGCGCAGAGATAGGCAGCCGTGCACTTCATCCTGTCATTTGGGCACGTGACTGTGCTGTCACAGTGGGGCCTCCTGTGCCTCGGGCTCTGGGCTGAGCATTGACACGCCAGGGAATGAACACCGACTCAGCTCTTCATTATCTCCCACCAGGGGCCGGTGAGAGGCTGGCCCATTTTAATTGCTTGCTCTGATTACAGGCAGTTTGATGTTCCACCACAGGAGCTATAGGAATCCCGTACTGTAGGAACTGCTCTCTACTTCTGTCTTTTATGCATTTGGGAGGGGTGGTGGTGGGCGGAGCGTGGGCATACCTGGGAATGCTCAGGGATCGAACTTGGGGTCCACCACGTGCAAGGCCAGCACCCTACCTGCTGCATTATCACTCTGGCCCCCGTTTCTTTTAAAGTTTGTGTGTTAGGAACCTGAGATGAGCAGGAAAGTAAAGTGGCTTGCCTTGGGCCACAGAACTATGTAATGGCCCCTCTGCCTAACTAGTACATTACCATTTTAGTGAAGTGCTGCATGTAGATAGCACTCATCCTGAATTTCTTGAATTTTCCTTGTTGTGTTTTTCAGAGTTGACCCGCTCCCCTCGGGGCCAAGAGCCTCTGAGCTGAAAGGCAGAATGCGGGGCAAGCCCTCCTTACTGGCCGCAGCGAGACCCATGCGAGCGATCCTCCCAGCCCCAGCTAATGTGGGGCGAGGCAGCAGCATGGGACTGCCCAGGGCCAGGCAGGCCTTTCCCCTGAATGGTAAGGAAGGGACAGACCCCCAGAGGGCGGGCTGTTGAATGGGGAAGGGTGGAGGGGCCGAGGGAGACTCTGGGTGCGCTTGGGTCACATTGGGCTTCTGGTTGTCTCAGATAAGACTCCCTCTGTGAGGACTTGTGGCCTGAAGCCAAGCACTCTGAAGCAGCTGGGCCAGCCCGTCCGACAGCCTTCCAGCACCAGCGAGGTGAAGGTAAGCCCCAGGCTCGGCCCTAACTCTGAGAGGAGGCTGAGCATGGATGAGCTCACCGATTAAGTTACCTTTTCTTGTGCTTTTATTTTTGAGCCACACCCACAGTGCTCAGGGCTTATGCTCCTGACTCTGCTCAGGGCTCATTTCTGGGGGGCTTGCTCAGGGACTTGATGTGGTGCCAGGAGTGAATCTGGGTCAACCGCTTGCAAGGCCAGTGCCCTGCCTGCTGTACTCTCTCTCCATCCCATGTTCCCTTGTTTTTACTTAATTTCTTTTGTCATATGGTGGACACATATTTTTAAAGTTACATAGGAATCATTTATTTATTTTTTATTTTGGGTCACACCTGGCGACACTCAGGAGTTACTCCTGCCTCATGTACTCAGGAATCACTCCTGGCAGTGCTTGGGAGACCGTATGAGATGCCAGGGTGAGCCTGGGTTGGACACGTGGAACCTGGATACCCACTGTGCTATCACTCTGGCCCTAATACATGTTTTTTTAGTCAAAATAACATACATGGGTCTTACTCTTACTCTGCATTGATTTATAGATAACACAATTAATTTTAATGATAAAGCTATTAAGGATCTTATGGGTATCAAAATTTCATGTATTTAACCACATTTAATTTTAGATTTTTATTTTAAAAATCTTGTTGCCATATGTGTCTCGAACAATTATGATCAGAACCCTAAATCAGTACTTTTTCACTAGACTTATTTTTTTGCTTTTGGACTACACCCATGATGCAATGCTCAGAGATTATTCCTGGCTCTGCACCAAGGAATTACTTCTGGCAGTGCTCAAGGAACAAGACGGGATGCCGGGGATCAAGCCTGGGTCAGCCACGTGCAAGGCAAATGCACTACCTACCCACTGTACTAGCCAGCCCCTATATATAGCTACTTTGACATTTCCTATATCTAGTCTCAAAATGTTCATTTCAGTCCATTAATTTCATCATCCCTGAGTAGATTGTGGCCTGTGGTTGAAAAAATCCTATCATGAATCAAATTGGAATAGGAAATTGGCTTGCCTTCTCCCTTGCCACATGCTTCTAGGTCAGATAGTTTTCTTTTGCTAATTCCAATTTGTTCCCAACAATACCAGCTGACTTTTAGTAGAAGGCAGATTGGTTTGTCCTCCATATGCCGTGTCAGCCTGGCTGCTGTTGTGATCTCGGAGTAGAGAAGAACAGTGATCTACTCAGCCCATGCCTCCCATACCCCTCACTGGTGTAAACTCCCAGTCTTTGAAACTGTTTTTTTTTTTTTTTAAGTTGGCATCCTTAAGAGTTTGCTAAAAAATAAAAGGCTTTTACTGGTTTTAAACCAGTTACATTGACTCTTACACACCAAAGAGCAACTTTAATTTAGTATTAAAGAACAATCTTTAAATTCGAATGTTTTCTTTTTAATGATGTAAGTTATAATCATTTTCCTCAGAATATTTGAAAGTTTTATAGATCATGGTAGAAGGAGAAATGATCATCTTCCTCTGCAACATTTTGATCTTTCTATGGCACTCTACAGTGGATTCCTTAACACAGTAAATTTGGGAATGACTTGGGCGTCAATATGAGGGCCTCACATGCAAGCCAGATGCGCTGCTGCTGAGCTGACCCCTCCGCTAGAGAACAGGCTAAACTCCTTTTCATGGACCTCAGAGACCAGACACGACCTGGCTTCCTCCCTCTTCTTCACTGGGCTCTTGCCTCCTTCCCAAGTCTCCCCACAGGGCTGCCTCCTCCTGAGTTGTAAGCTTAGACTTATTTGTGCTTTTTGTTTTTAAGCCTTATTCCCTCTTGGTCCCCCTTGCTCCCCACTGCCTCAGTGCTGGGGTTTGAACCCTGGTTGCCTGCATGCAAGCCATGTGCTTGCCATTGGGATGCACCTGTGATGTTCAGGGGCTGCTCTTGGCTATGGTACTTGGGAGATGGTACTCTGGGTAGATATTGGGAACCTAAACAAACCCAGGCCTCCGGCATGCAAAGCATATTTCAGCCCTTCAGCCTATCTCTCATCTCCTCAAACCTTTATTTTTCTGCTTTTTGGTTCACACCCAGTGATGCTCAGGGGTTACTCCTGGCTCTGCACTCAGGAATTACTCCTGGTGATGCTCCGGGGACCATATGAAATGCTGAGGATTGAACCTGGGTCAACCACTTGCAGGACAAATGCCCTACCCAGTGTACTATCACTCCAGCCTCTCAAACCTTTGTTTAAAGAGATTTTCTTCTAATTTCCCTTACTGTGTAAGTCAGTGTTTCCCCCAGCAGGTGATCCTGGTTCTGTGGTGGGAGCAGGGTTGAGGGGAAGGAGTATGGGTAATAGTGGCTTTGGATACCAGGAGTGGGCACTGTTTTCACTTAAGGTTGATTTCCATGGGGGTGCTGAGTGTTTTTGTATTTCCTTCGCTGAAGTGGGGCGGTGAGTCAGGTATGTTCAGGAGCCTTGCTCTACTGGAGTGTGTGCCCCTGGACAGGCAGCCTATTTCTCCTGCTCATGTGATTCCAACCCCAAGGATGGTGCTCATGCCAAATGTGTTGTGTGAATGAGGATGGCCGTGGCATCTGTAGTAGTATTTGAACTCATGTCTTCGAATGTAAGGGCTGGAGCAATGTGGCACAGCGGGTAGGGCGCTTGCCTTGCACGCAGCCGACACGGCCAACCCGAGTTCGATTCGTCCGCTCCTCTTGGAGAGCCTGGCAAGCTACCGAGAGTATCTTGCCCTCGCAGCAAAGCCTGGCAAGCTACCCGTGAAGTATTCGATATGCCAAACATAGTAACAAGTCTCACAATGGAGACATCACTGCGCCCGCTCAAGCAAATTGATGAACAATGGGAGGACAGTGATAGTCATGTCACTTTCAATCCTGTATGTTTTTTTCAATTAAACATTCTCAGAGTGAGGAGTATAATGACCTTCTTGCCAGTTATTGAGCACCCCAGACAGGGCTTAGGGAGGGGAGAGCTTTGGATCTTCCATTTTGCCTTGGGCCAATTCTCAGGTGCCCCCCTTTATCATCATCGCCGGACCAGTGGTCAGTGGGAGAGCAGATGGCCACTGTCTATAGGTTTTCCTGGAATGAGACACTGTCTGCTGTGCTAGTTGAAAGGCAGAGGGGGAATGAAAGGGTTGAGAGGGAAGGAAAGGACGCAGAAACTGAATCCAGCCTGTTCACCTGTCGTCCTGTGGATGAGAATGATAAAGACATTACACTCTGGCTGGCTTTTGCCAACTGTTTAGCAGGTGCAGATGTTCAGTTCTTCTCCTCAGTCAGAATTGGAAGCAAGGGACCAAAAAGCACAAGGTTGAACTCAGTACAAGACTTTATCTAGGAAAGCGAAAGGAAGGGAGAGTAAGGCTCCCAGGTCATGGGCATGGTACCCCAGCAGGGCTCCCTGGATCCTGTTATTGTGGAGAGCTCTTAGATGCTTTCTGACTTGCAGGTCGCAAGTGTGCAGTGCAGAGCATGTGATCCCAGGGCTTTAAAGTGATAGTCATGGCGGGTGATGCTTCCTGGTATCCTAGAGGACTCCTGGGGTGTAGTTCTGTACCCTGGGAGACTATTTTCCTCAAGCTATTGCGAGGCATAGGACTTCAGAAATTTGACTACCGTTGAAAACCACTAACTAATTTGTTCTGATCCACAGCTACCAAATGTCCCAGCCAATAGGACATCTCAGGTGAAAGTTGTGGAGGTCAAGCCTGATGTGTTCCCTCCATACAAGTACAGCTGCACGGTCACGCTGGTAAGTGCAGCCAGGAGTAAGAGGAAGGGGTCGAGTGTATGTGTGTGTGTGTTTATTTTTTTGTGGTGCCGGAACCCTTGGCCTCACATGTGCAAGGCAAATAGTTAACTCCTGAGCTGTACCCCAGCCTGGTAATCTCTCCGAACACCCTCACTGAAAGAAATGAGAGCCTCTGACAGCTGCTGGGCCCGCGGCTTTCCCAGGTGAGCTCTGTAAAGTGCAGGCAGCTGAGATGGGAGCTCCTTGGATGCTATAAAGATGAGAATCTAGCCCAGGTTTTTTTTGTTTGTTTATTTTTGTCTTGACTGCGGTGGACATATCACTCCAAGACAGTGCCCGGGGTGGAAGGACAACTCGCTGAACTGCGGACAGCTGGGCCAGCAGTTCCACTGTAGGGCTGGGAATGCTGTGCCAGAAACCTCCCGGGTCACACCAGTGATGCTGGGCCGTCTCCTGGCCTTCCCTTCCGTGGCCTCGATGTCTCTGAGCTTCAAGAGTGTTTGGGGAGCTGGAGAAAGAGTACAGTGGGGTGGGGGAGTGGGTAGAGGGAGGGGGGGCTGGAGCAGTAGCACAGCAGGTAGGGCGTTTGTTTTGCACGCGGCTGACCCGGGTTTGATTCCCAGCATCCCATCTGGTCCCCTGAGCACCGCCAGGAGTAATTCCTGAGTACAGAGCCAGGGGTAACCCCTGTGCATCGCTGGGTGTGACCCAAAAAGAAAACAAAACAGAAAAAGAGTACAGTGGATAGGGCACTTGCCTTGCAAGCAGCCAATCCAGATTCCATCTCTTCTAGCATCCCATATGGTTCTTTAAGCCTGCCATGAGTTGATCCGTGAGCACCACCAAGTGTGGTCTAAGAACAGAACCCAAAAAAAAACTGTTTGGGGAATGTTGTGTTTTTCTTAAGAGTCCTGTTCAGTGTTAGTGTATTAGTGGGTTGGAGATAAGTAAAGCACTTTACTTTGTTCAGCGTGCATTTTTCACCAACCGCCCTCCCACTTTTTTTCTATAAAAGATACTAACACTCTAATACACAGATGTGTGATGCCACGTCATCCTTTAGTGGCATGGAGCAGAGGTGGAGAGACCTGCATGCTGTGTCACCTGGGCAAGGCTCTCTCCTGGCCTGTTTTCTCATCTGTGAAAGTTAGATCTCACCTTGGGGTTTTTCTTCCCCTTAACATACATCCTCTAATTATTGGCTTTTTGTTTGGGGGTTGGGGGTACACCTGGCAGTGCTCAGGGTTATTTCTGCCTTTGAACTCAAGAATTACTTGTGGTGCTTGGGGGAACTGTGTGGGGTGTCAGGGTTAGAACCTGGGTCAGCTCATGAAAGGCAGTGTCCTATCTTTATTCCGGTCATTCCAGTCCAGCCAGTTAAATATTTATTTAATTCACTTTTTTCACAGATGGGGAAAGACTTGCCAATATTGATACAGGCTGTGTTAAGAGTGAAAGAAAATAACTGTAGAAAGGGGATCTTGCATAAAGGCTCCATGGAAGTTAGTGTAAATGTATGTGGCTTGGGAATCGCTTTTCCTTGATTTATTGATCCTCGTCGTCCTGGTGCATGGCTCTGCCGAGGTGCACCTGAGTTGAATGTTGGTCTTCCCTTTTCAGGATTTAGGCCTGGCTACATCGAGAGGCCGGGGGAAGTGCAAGAATCCTTCTTGTAGCTACGTCTACACCAACAGGCACAAACCGCGGGTCTGTCCCAGCTGTGGCTTTAACCTCGCCAAAGACCGGACTGAGAAAACCACCAAGGCTCTTGTGAGTTTCCTCCCCACACACTTCCCCTGCCTGGGTTTCGTAGAAATCAAAGGAAATGAAAGGATATTTTTTAGGGTGTGGAAGCAGTTGGGCACCACGGCTGGGCCCGGCTCACTTCTGAGCCTGCCTTCTCTCTGCACCTCCTCATTGCTCAGCTGTTCCAGTCAACCAGATACTTTGGTCTCTGACGCTCTTCTTGCCCCCCAGATCTAAAGCTCCTTGAGCAAGAGATTGGCAGCAGGTTTGGGGAGAGAAAGATGTGAGGGCTTCATCCTTTTATCTTTGAGGCCTTTGGGAGACCAGTAACTAGTCCTCTGACCAATAGTTCTAAACTGACAGCATGGGGCTTTATAAAACAAATTGCTCTTTAGTTTTTTTTACTTAAAGAACTGTGATTTACAAAGTTATTCATAGTTAAGTCTTAGGCATGCAATATTCCAACACCAATCCTACCACCAGTGACTAACTCCCTCCCCCCACCAGTGTTCCCATGCTCCCTCACACACACCCCCACCCGCCCACCCACCCACCCCTTGACAGGCACATTTCAAAGTTCAGTGGTTGAATCTCAGATCTCATGTTCTTAGAGTTGTTGTGTCTGTACTCTGGATACACTGCTGTGCCCCCCTCCCGCATCACCAGTGTACCCGAGGCCCCACCCCTGATCCCCCGTTGCTTCCCTTTCTCAATCTCATTCCTTCTCTGTCCTTTGGGGTCTAGGCATCCACTCTTACTACGTTACATTTTCTCATCTCGTTATTCTGTATTCCACAGATCAGTGAGATCATCTTGTATTTATCCACTTTCTGGCTTATTTCACTCAACACGGTATCTTCCAGTTCCAACCAGGTGGCAGCAAAGTTCATGATTTCATCATTCCTTGCAGCTGCATAGTATTCCATTGTGTATTTGTACCACATCTTCATAATCCATGCAGAAACAGATACCAAGTAGCTTATAGGGCTTTTTTAAAATTTGCCTCTGGCAGTCTTAGCTAAGCTATTCTCTGAAATTAGACCAAACTATTTGAATAGTAAGTTTCACTTGACTTGGTAGGGCTTGTGTTTTATTACTAAAAACCAGGAGAGGGAGAATTTTCTGAGGTTCTCTGGATTTCCATGTATGTGTCTTGCAGCGGGGTTGGAGGTAGGCAGGGCAAGCAGGGAGGGGCTTCCTGTGATTCTCAGCCAGGCCTGATGATTCGGTGTAAGGGCCTGATTTTGCTGTGAGGTACCTTTGGTGCTAGAGATTACCCAGGTTAGCCCTCCAGGGCTGTTCCTGGTGGTGCTTGGGATGCTGGGGATTAAACTGGAGTTGGCCACGTTCAGGACATGTGCCTCAAACCCATACTCTGCGGCCCCAAGGCTTGTTTGGTTTGGTTTTTGAACCAGATTTGGCACTACTAAGGCTCGGTGCTTGTGTTTGAACCCCGGGTTTCTGCCTGCAGAGTGTGCGATCCTCCCCTTGGAGCTGTCCTCACTTTGATGCTGGGGGCAAACCCAGGGGCTCGGGTATGCGAGGCATCCACTCCACCAGCTGAGCCCCCTTTAAAAAGTGAACAGGATAAGGGTCTGGGAAGGAATGTTAGTGCTTTGCCCTGCAGGGCAGAGGGTGGCACCTAGAACAAGTCAGGAAGCCACGGTGGAGTCTGGCTTGGGAAAATCCCAATTGGCCCTTTTAAAATGGGCAGGACTGGGGAGTGGTATCAGCGAGGACAAACGAGGGAATGCAGAGAAAGGGAATTGGCTAGTGAAGGGGTAGAGGGTATAGTGAGTGAAGAAAGGCTCTTCCCCAGGCCCATCCTGGAGGTCTTCAATACAGCTGTGCTTTCATTGGCTTGCTTTGGCGGCCACACTGGGGGACACAGATGCTCCAGGTTTGGTGCTGGGGGGTTAATCAAAGCAGTGTCAGTGAACAAACATGCCCCATGAAGCTATTTCTTGGGATCTCTGGGCAGTTTGGAAGTCCCGGGAATGTACTTGATCTCCAGGTCTGTGTCCATGCCTGGAATCATGCTTTGAGCGTGTGAGAAAGGGGGTGAACAAAAGTTTGTAACTCGTGCCTTAGTGAGAAAATAGCAGAACTGGAGAGGGGCGGGGAGGCCCCTGGATCAGGAGCACAGTGAGGGAAGGTGGCAGAGTGGATTAGGTTCACATATATTATTGTCTAGACTGTGAACTTTGGGAGAATTAAGGTTCAAGAGACCTGTAAACCCTTGAGAGTGCACATGGAGGGGTCCCAGGCTCCTGGCGCTGCCCTCTGAGCAGGGTGCCTCCTCCAGACCTCAGCGGTCTGCTCTTAAGAGTGCCCCATACCAACGCACCCCATCTCGTGCCGGCCAGTGCAGCCAGCCGTGTCCCCTCCATCTGCTAACATGCAGGCCTGTGAGTGGTATCGGGGTGAAACTTGATTTCTGCGTGGGTAACAGACCCTTTGAACATTCATTCCTTTATTTCATTGTAGATGAAGCTGTGACATAAGATACGGAAACGGAGATTGGCCCTTATGTCTGGGATAATGAAGTCACTTTGCAGGCCAGGCAGAAATTGTCTTGCCAATTGATTTCAGTTTCTATTTATATTCATTCTTTTATGTATATTCCTCACTTTAGCTGGAAACCTCATCCCTCTAGTATGATAATGTCCAGACATTCCTTTGCTCTTCTGCATCCTAAATTTTAGAGAAGTAAAATGTAACATTCCCACAAAACTAGTGTCAGAAAACCAGACCCTTGTGTGTTGCTCTTTGGAGCCCCCTCCTGGCCTTGTGTTTCATTTGCACTCTGTCTTTGGCTTCAGACTGCTTCTCTCTGAGCTAGAATCGCCTCGATTCCCTCCCATTTTCCATTTGTGGCTTAGAACCGAAGGATAGTTATTCTTGGTTGCTTGCCTTCCAGCTCTGTGATTCAGCATAACCCTAGCTGGCGATTTGTGACCTTCGTTCTGTTTCTCTGAAGCATCAGGTGAAAGCCTGGCATAGACTTTTGAAAATACAAAAAGCACTGGGATGACGACCTCTTCCGTTTAGGTGCTTCAAGGAGCAGGACAAGGCCAGCAGTAGTAGTTGGCATTAGTTGGCATGCTTCGGGCCTTGTGCTGGTATTAAAAATCAGCAACTAAGCCAGGGCAGTTTGCAGGAAGGAGATGGCAAGACAGTTCTGCAGGGAAGGAGTGACCGCTGGGCTTGCTTCCTTGGTGCGAGATCAGTAGGGGCCTCCACTGAATAGCACCTTCAGGGAAGGACTTGTTTCTCGGGTGTATTTTTTTTTTTTAAGTTTTATTGAATCACCATGAGAAGAGTCACAAAGCCTTTCAGTTTAAGTCTCGGTCGGTCATACAATGATCAAACGCCCATCCCTTTACCAGTGCACATTTTCCACCACCAGGAACCCCAGTATACCCTTCCTCCCACCCACCTCCACCTGTGTGGCAGATTTTCACTTTACTCTCTCGCTACGTTGATCACATTCAGTATTATGACAAAAGACCCAACAGTATTATTTGAGATTTTCCCCAACATTCAGACCTGCCAAAAAGACCTCATTAGATCATTTGTTTTCTGTTGCTGATTATGAAGAGCATATGATATAGTGTGGCTGCAATAGTGGCCACATGATTTTAGATTTCTGATATTTTAGTAATAAGCCTAGAGGGATTACTGCCAAAAGCCCCTTGTTTCTGAGATTGGTTTGTGTGCCTCTGGGATCATGGTCGTTCAGGAGCCGGAGGAGGCATTTGTGGGTAGCAACCAGGGGCCTTGTCAGGGCTGGGGAGCAGGGCCGGTTCCACCCCCCATCCCATGAGGCCCCGCGTGCCTTGTCAATGCAGTCTCATACCTGGCTGTCCATTAGGCGCTAAAAGATGGAGGCCACCGTGCTGCCACCACAAGGGGGGACAGGCGGAGGGACAAACATGGGGTGTATTTCTGAACTTTGTTCCTAAAATCCTCTTAACTGCTATCAGAGTTTTCTTGTTCCCAGAAGCCACCAAGTACTGAAGGTAAAGGTTTATTTATCTGTTGTAATGACCATTCATAGAAATTCGACCATCCCTAGAGTTTTCTTTGCATACCAGGTGCTGTGCTAAGTCCTTTGCGTGTAAGAGCTCTTATTCCCTGTTCAGCTTCCCCCCCGCCCCCGCTTTTTGAGTCACATCCAGCGATGCTCAGTGGTTACTCCTCTCTCTGCACTCAGGAATTACTCCTGGAGATTCTTGAGGGACATATGGGATGCTGGGGTTTGAACCTGGGTCAGCCGCATGTAAGGCACACTCTCTTCCTGCTGTACTATTGCTCTGACCCCTGTACAGCTTTTTTTTTGATCCTCCCTTTTATAGGGGAGAAAGTTGAGGTTTATTAGCAAGATAAAGTAAAGTTGCTTCGGGTCACACATAAATGGCATATCTGGTTTGGGGCCTAATCAGGCGGTGCTCAGGGGGTTACTCCTGATGAGCTCGTGGTGACCTGGATCGAGCCCAGGTTGGCTGTGTCCTAGGCAAGTGCTCTACATGCTGAATTATCTCTCCAGCCCTAAGAAGCATATCTGCCATCGAAGCTCATGTCTATTCTCCAGACTCTGTACCTGGAAATGGCGGCCAACTGTTGAATCTATAACGGGGAGATAAACTTGTACTACCAGATAAATTGGGTGCAGGAGAGAGAAAGCACATGATGTAAATTGCACAAATCTGCAAAGTAGCTAAGCTAGTTTGAAAATGGTGTCCCAGGTCTCAGCCATAGACCTTCGGCCATGCATAGCCTGTCATCCTTCATCCGAGGCTGACTCTTTGTGCCTACGTGTTGGTGACAGATGCCCTCTCTTCCCAGGAGGCGAGCGCCCCCCTCCCAGAGGTGCTGAGTGCCACAGAGCCCCTGAGTGCCACCCAGAGGGAGATCCAGCGCCAGTCCACGCTGCAGCTGCTGCGCAAGGTCCTGCAGATCCCTGAGAACGAGTCAGAGCTGGCTGAGGTCTTCGCCTTGATTCACGAGCTCAACAGCTCTAGGCTCATCCTGTCCAACGTGAGTGAGGAGACGGTCACCATCGAGCAGACCTCTTGGTCGAATTACTATGAGTCTCCGTCCACGCAGTGCCTTCTCTGTAGCAGCCCATTATTCAAAGGGGGACAAAAGTAAGCACCCCTTTCAGACTTTCCTGCCTCCAGCCCCCCTGTCTTCCATGGCTGACACTGCCTCTTTCTTCAAGTGACTTTAAAGCTATAGTCTTTGAAGATGCTATTCTGGTTGGTTATTTTTTTTTCTGAAGTTTCTTTTATATTTTCACTGTTGTTAAATATAAAATGATACTAAGTTGTTTTCTGTTACTTCTGTTGAAAATGACCAGAAGTTAGTGTCACCAGTGTAGGAATTAGTATGTCTGGTTGAACATCCCAGCATCCTTCATGGATTTGGGAATTTGGTGGGAGTGGTCAGGTAAGGGAATGAGTCATGTTGCCCACAGGTGGGGGTGCCTACTGGACAGCCAAGTTGCAGCCCCTTTGCATAATGTCTCCAGAATTTACCATTGAGTGCTATGCCCTGGAACTGCATTATTAAGAGGTTGATTTCCTCCTTCTTTCCCCCTTTTTTTTTTTTGGTTACTGGTGATGTTTTTGGTACTAGCTCCCTGGCCGGGCCCCAGGAGTGCTGGCTGCTGACTGCCAGTCGGTTGCAGGTGGTGACTGCCCAGGTGAAGATGTGTCTGAACCCCCACTGTCTGGCCCTGCACAGCTTCATGGACATTTATACAGGTGGGTGCCTGCCTCCCCCGAGCTCCGAGCAGGCCAGAACACAACTCTGCGTGTCAGGACTTCTCTGAGTACTGGGCCTTCTCTCAGGGGGGCAGGGGCTCTTGAGGAAGAGGCTTTTTTTGTTGTTGTCTTTCCTTTTCTATCCTTTCCTTTTCTAGAATATCTCAGCCACAGAATATTTACTTCTTAATAATTAGGGCTCCTGGGCTGGAGCGATAGTACAGCAGGTAGGGCATTTGCCTTGCATGCAGCATCCCAGATGGTCCTCCCAGCACTGTCAGGAGTAATTCCTGAATGCAGAGCCAGGAGTAACAGTTGAATATCGCTGCATTTGACCCCAAAAAGCAAAAAAAAAAGGAGGGGGGTTCCTTTGGGACCAGAGAGATAGTATGGCAACAGAGGCATTTGCCTTGCATGAAGCTGACCCGAGCTTGATTCCTGGAACACACCCACAGGGGGTCACTGGGAGAGACTTTTTCTTTCTCGTTTTTTCTTTTTTGAATTTTTAAAAAATTTTTATTAGTGAAACACCATGAAGTACAGTTGTGGACTTAGAAATTTTTGTGCTTGGGTTTCACTTATACAACGATCGAGTACCCATCCCTCCACCAGTGCCCATTTCCCACCACTGATCCCAGTGTACTGGGAGGGACTCCTGAGCACCGCTGAGTGTGACCCCAAAACCAATTAAAAAAAAAAAAAGAATTCGGACTCTTTTCTAGAATCCTAAACGTAAAGGTAACACCTTTCTCCAGCCCAGGTTGGTAGCATTAAGTTGAGAGAGCATGGGGTGGGGGGGCCCGACATGGCCCAGCCGATGTGTCTACCTCAGTACCCTGGGTGTGAGCAAGTAGCCGAAGTGCACATGGGCCATGCCACCCAGGGCCCAGGTATCCAGGTGTGGTTTCCTTCCTGTGCCCACCGGCCCCCACTTCCTCCATTTTTACCTGTGTGCACCCTCGTGGAGAGACGCTGCTGTCTGTGCCTCTTTGTGAGGAAACTGGGAAATGCAGGCAAGTGGAGGGAGTCAACTCCCAGGCAGCAGTGAACCTCTTGTGATGCGATGAGCACTTGGTGCTGAGCCCTCCAGCGTCAGCTCTCTTGACTCCTGTGAAGATATGCTGAGGGTGGATCCTCCCAGGGTTCTGGGTGTGTGCAGCTCTGGTAGAGTGCTTGTGTGTGTACAGATTGTGCTGCTAGTGAGCCACGCTCCTTGTCCTGGGATGTGCTTTTAAATTTAGAAGTGTTATTGTGGGCATCTCCTGTGTCAGCAGGTGGAGAAATATATGGGCACTTTTCAGGTGTGCGGCTGTCCATTTTATAGTCCTCGAGCCTTTGTGTGCAACCTGAATGATTTCCTGTAGGCGAACACTCACAGGTGGCTGCTACTCACCCTTTCCTGCCTCTTCTTTCATCAGTGTCAGACACTGTATGAATTTGAATCTTGAGTTTTATGTTTAGAATTTGACTGAAGGTGGTTGTTTATGCTTCGTGTTTAAAACCATTCAGTGCCTTGTTTTGAATTCATGCTTTTGCTGTAAGAGCAGCTGGGCCTTCCCTGAACATTCTTTTATGTTGTCCCTTTGTAATCAGACCCATCCCCGACACAGAGCCTCTGGCGACCATTTGATCTGTTTTCTCTCCCTGTGGTTTTATCTTGACAGTGTCATTAACTGCAATTACAGTATATCACAGCCATTTCTTTCACGAGACAAAGTACCTTTGAATTCTCCCCCATGTTTATGTTTTAGTCATTTGTTCTCTTGTTGAAGCATGTTTGGCCTGACAGTGTTGAGCAGCCTGGAAGAAGCTGTGGCAAACATTTGTGTACAGACTTTTGTGTGGACGTAAATGTCTCTTGGATAAGCACTTCAGAGTCAGATTGTGGGCCCATGCGATGTTTATGTTTAATTCTGTAAGAAATTGCCGAACCCCGTAACCAAGTGTCTGTGCCGGTCAGCGTTTCCTCTGACGTGTAGAATCCCAGAGAATGCTCCACTGGCAGCTTTTGGTAGTGCCTGAGGTTTTGTTCCCCTTCTAACATGTGTATGCAGCTTGAACTTACTGTTTTCTCGATGACTAATGATGTTGAACATCTTTCCCTTGTTTTATTTGCCCTTTGGATGGACTTTGGTGACGTGTCCATTCGCATCATTGACTCATTGAAGCGAGTTTGGTCTGAATGATGATACTGAGAATTCTTTTTATAATCTTGATATATATTTAAGTCCTTTGGCAGACAGGGGATCTGCAAATATTTTCTAGTGGTCTATGGTTTGTCCTCATTCTTGACAGAATCTTCATAAGCAGTTACTTTACTCCTGGCTGTGTGCTCAGGGGTCATTGTATAATCGAAATGGTTTTGAGCTGCATCGACCTCATGTTTTGAGGCAGATAACTTAATTCCTGTAGTTTCCTTGGCCCCGAGTGATTGTTCTGAATGAGAGTAGCAACCTGTTTGTTCATTTCTCGTCCAGGGACCATTTTTGATGTATCTGAGATCTCTTCATCTTGATGAGTATTTTTCTTGCTTTTCTAAAAATATTAACAATTTTATTATTTAAATTTATCTATTTTGAACTTATTTTGTGGAAAGTCTGAGATCTATGCAATTTTTGAAACGTATTTTTTTATTGATTCCTATTTTATTTTATTTTTAGGAATGTTTATTGAGACACCATGATTTACAAAGTCGTTCATAGAGTTGTTTTATGCATACGATGTTCCAACAATAATCGCACCATCAGTGTCCCCTTTCTGCCACCATAATATCCCTAGGTTCCCCTCCCACTCCCCAGTCTGGCACTTTGGCAGTTATATAACAAATTCATCTCCCATTTCTTGGTCCAATAAAACTTAGAGGAATGGAAAATAGAATTATCAAAAAAAGTTAATTTGTGATGAGTAATTGTTATTATTATTCTTTTTTTCCTTAGAGCCGGGTAGTGATACATATATATATATATATCTTTGTTTTTTTTTTTATTATTATTAGTGAAACACCATGAGGTACAGTTGTAGATTTACAATTTTTTGTGCTTGGGTTTCGATTATACAATGATCAAATACCCATCCTTCCACCAGTGCCCATTTTCCACCACCATGGATAATATCCCCCCCACCCCCATCCCCCGCATCCCACCCTGCCTCTGTGGCAAGGCAATCCCTTGTGTTCTCTCTCTTCTTTTGGGTGTTGTGGTCTGCAAAAGAGGCATTGAGTGGCAAACATGTTTGAAACGTATTTTTTTCCATAGAATTTCCTTTGCACCTTGTTGAAAAATCAAACATATATGATCAAACAAATTTGATCATGTTCTTGTAGCTTTCTTTTTTTTTGTTTTGGGGGGGGAGGTTTGGGTAACCCCAAACCATGCTCAGGGCATACTCCTGGCTCTGTGCTCAGGAGTGACTCCTGGTAGTGCTCAGGAACCATGTGTGGTTCTGGGGATGAAATGTAAGGCAAGTTCCTTCATGCAAGTTCCTTCAGACTTGTGGGCCTTTTATTTGGGGGATGGAGGTCTAGTTTTTAACCTTTCCCCGCCTCCATCGGTCGTGATATCCGATGGCTTGCAGCCCGGGCTGTTGTGCTGTTGGCTCCTGGCTGCCTGCTTGGTGGAAGTGTATGTAACAGCACACTCGGTTACTGGAGCTTGCGTTACTGCCTCGGCGCACTTGAACTCACTGCTGTGACCGCCCTTGCCTGTGCGGTCACAGCAGGATGACAGGGAGGCCGGGAAGGGTGTGCACATCTACCCCTGAGCAGTCCTGGCTTCTTGAGGCACTATTTCTTCTGCATTTTGTTTTTCCTTTTTTTGTTTTTGAACCGTACCTGGTGGTGGTGCTCAGGGGTTATACCTGGCACTGTGTTCAGGGATCGCTCCTGGTGCTTTTCCAGGGACCACATGGAATTGCTGGGTTGGCCACATGCAAGGCAAGCACCCTCATGTTCTGGCCCTTGGCTCTGTTTCTCCACTATTCTGTCGCACTAATTGATATTTCTTCTTTTATGTTGCCTTGATTATTATCACGGATCACGGTCCTCCCGTTCATCGATTTGCTCGAGTGGGCCTAGTAATGTCTCCATCGTGAGACTTGTTGTTACTGTGTTTGGCATATTGAATGCATCACGGGTAGTTTGCCAGGCTCTTGCCGTGCGGGCGAGATACTCTCCATAGCTTGTAAGGCAAACACCCTACTGCTGTACTATCGCTCCAGCCCTTGATTATTCTAACTTTTTTAAAAAGTAGTTTACGTTTTATTAGATTTTGTCTTGGTGTTTCTAGCTGTCAGCATATAGGGCTTCCACACACTTCGTGGTAGTGTTTCCTGTTGATGAACTGCTGAGGGCTTAGTGCCGCTGCTCCGGTCACAGGAGTTTTGTCTGGTGACTTAAGCTAGTGATCTTGCTAAACTCATTTGCGCTAAGAACTTTTTGTAGCTGGTATTAAAATGTCTTAACAGTTTGTCAATTTGACAGGTAGTAAAAGCTGGTATATCATCTCGAAATTTATAGTATTTTTTGCTTACTAGGAAAATTGTATATATTCTTTTCTCATTATTTTATTTTTTTTAGAGGTGGGGGACCACCCACACCTGGGAGATCTCAGGGCTCTGTACTCAGGGTCACTCCTGGTGGACCCAGGGGACCATATGGGATGCCAGGGATGGAACTTGAGTCTGCCATTTTCAAGGCAAATTGCTGTACTTGCTGTACTTCTTCTCCAGGCCTTCTTTTGAGAATTTATTTTGTGAGCATTTTCATTCTTCTCTGAGGTATTTCTTTGACAGAGTTCTACCCCAGTTTCTCAGCTGTCTTCTTAAATTTATGTTCTTTTTCTAGACACGAAAGGATTTCTCTGTCTTTAATTTTAAGGGCCAGAGAGATAGATAGTACAGCAGGTAAAGGAATTGCCACGCACATGGCCAATTCTGGTTTGATCCCCAGAACCACATGTGGTTTCTCAAGCACTGCCAGAAGTGATACTTGAACACAGGAGTAAGGAGTAAGCCCTAAGCACAACTGGGTGTCAACCATCACTTCCTCCCCCGCAAAAAAAAAAAAAAAAGTTCTTTTTAATCTAGAGCTTCTCCCTTATAGTTTCAAACCTCCTTCTTTGGTATAATGTTTTGAAGGTCCTTCCCTACTGTATTCTTGCTTTTGCAAATGTGAAAACCTCCCACTTTGATTTTTCTTAGCTTTACTGAATTTCCTTGCCACTGAGCCTTTTACCCCAGAATTGGAACGAAAGGTGGAAGTGACACCTTTGGCCCTGATTGAGCTGGGTCACAGAGAAAGGCTTTTGGGGAAGTGGGGGTGGGGGTGGCACATCCAGTGATGAGCAGGGGTAATTCCTGGCTCTGCACTCAGGAATTATTTGTGGCAGTGCTTGGGGGAACCATATGGGGTGCCAGGGATTGGACCCGGGTCAGGCAAGGCAAGGGCCACCCCTGTACTGTCTCTCCAGCCCCAAGAGGTCTTTTTTTATTTAGTAATGCTTCTTCTATACAGATTTCATTTAAAAAGAAAGACATAGTGTATTGTGGATTATTTCCAAAGCATTTAGAGCAGAGGATCCCACACTCATTTGGTTTGCCCTCCTTACCTCCCTGGAACTGTGCCTCCTTTATGTGAGCAAACAGAAAGCACCTCCCAATTGCACACAAGGCTATTCCTGTCCCCTGGACCTTTGCCGCACCCCCGGGGGTGGGTGTGGAGGCAGGAACTCTGGGGAACATGATTTGAAAGTCTGCTATGCTTTGCAGTGAAATAGCTTTCTGCTTTTGAGTTTGCGTGTTTTGTTCCCCAGCGGGCAGACGTGTAGTTTGCTCCTGGTGCTTTGCCGCCGTGGCTGATGCTCCAGAGCATTGCCCTGGTGCTTCTTTGATGTGCAGGTCTTTTTAATGTGGGGAACAAGCTGCTGGTGAGCCTGGACCTGCTTTTTGCAATCCGAAACCAGATCAAGCTGGGCGAGGACCCCCGCGTGTCCATCAACGCTGTGCTGAAGTCGGTGCAGGAACAGACAGGTAAAAGGTGGTCCTCTGCACCCCAGACTGTGTCCTTGGGTTGGAAGCTCACATCTCCACATCTTGGGAGAGGAGAGTGTTTGATTCGAGAAGGAGTCAGTCCCAGTTCGTGGGTGAACTTCCTTTGAATGTCACAGATGCCCAGTTAAGCCACGGCAGGCATGCATCTTTGGACTCTCGAGGAGAGATTAGAGCTATACAGTACAGCCACAGAAACGCGCTTCCCAGCGACCTTTGGGGTCGCTACCCCACCCCTGGGCCTTGACCCCCACGTCACCTGGGAGGAACAGGGTGGCAGAGCTGCAGCCCCTGCTGGCCATTGAGGTCCCAGTGGCCTCGGGGCCCTCGCCGGCACCTCTCACCGCTCTTGCCCTCTCCTTCCAGAGAAGACCCTGAGCCCTGAGGAGTCGAGGCAGCTGCAGGAGCTGCTCTGTAATGGCTACTGGGCCTTCGAGTGCCTCACTGTCCGGGACTACAATGACATGATCTGTGGCATCTGCGGCGTGGCCCCCAAGGTGGAGATGGCCCAGAGGAGCGAAGAGAACGTGCTGGCACTGAGGAGTGTGGAGGTGAGCGCCGCCCAGCCGCCTGTACAGGGCTCCTCGCAGCCCCCATGGAGCAGACTGGGAGGGCCACGCAGCCTTTTCTGGCCACGGCTGGGGAGGGGTCATTTGTTCCTCATCTAGCTGACGTACTGAACGTTTAGCTCGTCGGAAGTGGTGGTAAACAACACGCAGTGGTGGTACTGCACATGAACTGGTTTGAGGAGACGGGAAGCAAGTATTCTATGTGTGTTGTAAAATTACAGTGAACTAATTGAAGAACCAGAGTAGCAGTGGTGGAAGGGGGAGTTCCCGTGTGGTAGCTGGCTGGGCTCAGAGAAGGCCCTACTGCCCCAGTGCCATTTGGGAAGAAAGCTGAAGGCCCTGTGACTCGTGGGGGCAGTGTTCTGGCGGAGGAGACGTGTGAGCCCGAGGGGTGGACTTGTTGGGCCTGGCGAGGAGCAGAATGAAAGCCCGTGTAGCTGGTGTGTGGGCCTCAGGGAGAGGAGTGGGGTAGGAGGGTCGCCAGCACCATGCCAGGTGCTCTGCAGCCGTGGGCGGGCCTCCCCGCACACCAGCCAAGCGGAGTGACAGAAGTGCTAAAGGAAATAGTGGCCTGCTCCGACTTACACTCATAACCAGCAGCGTTCACACAAGATCACAGATGCTATCTATGGATTCCTGTGGTAATTCTCATAAATGGTCAACAAGTTGTGATTTCAAGCTTAGGAGAAGATGAATCAAAAATGGGTGTATTTCTCTGCTCATTGTTTGAGATGATACAACCTTGAAGACAAAACCAGGCATGACCTGGGAGGTCATGGTCAGGCGGCCAGTGTCCGGGGATTCTGGTGGCCTTGCTCTGCTCTTTGTTTCGTAGTTTAGAGTGTTAGAACTTAGGTCTTTGGTTTCTCCTTACCTTTTATTCCCCCTTCTCCCTTTGGTTTTTGGGCCATACCTGGAGGTGCTCAGGGCTCACTCATGCACTCTTCTTTGGGTGGGAGGGAGGGAGGAAGGGAGGGAGGGAGGGAGGGAGGGAGGGAGGGAGGGAGGGAGGGAGTATGCAGGTGTCACTGGCCTGCTGACCACCCCTTTTCCGCCTGGCTTGTGACAGTGGCCCTGGGGGCTGGTGCCTAGCACATACTTACCTGGCATTTCTTGTCCCTTGTTTGTGGAGAGTGTGAGCGCGGTAGCCCTGGACACGTGGGTGATAGCGCACATCAGTGTGTGGGCAGAGTCTTTGGAGAGCCGTGGTTCTTGTACTCGACAAGTGTAAAACCACTGCAGGCAGCACTTCTCAGCTGTCTTAGCTACGTGCTTACTGGCCTCACCCACTGGTTTCTGGTTCATTAGACCTGGAAGGTGCTGGCAGGTATCCAGGACCCGTCTTTGAGAAGCACTCACCTGAGAAATTATTCCGGATGTTGATTGTTCTTCTCTTTGATTGTTCTTCTCTTGTTGTTGTCGTGGCTCAAGGCTGAGCACACTTGGCTGTAGTAGACCAGAGCTCACCCCCTTGCTGGCATGCCCGGGATCCCAGATGGCACTGCTGCCTTCATCGCGCTTGACATGTGGGGCAGTGCCCGAGGTCCAGCTCATGATCTCCTGCGCAGTGGCCCGGGCCACCAGGAATCTTGTTTCTGGTCTAGGTTTTTGGGCCACATTGGGCGATGCTCAGGAGTTATCCTGGCCCTGTACTCAGGAATTACTCCTGGTGGGGCTCAGGGGACCTTATGGGATACTGGGGATCGAACTTCAATCATCTGCGTGTCAGGCAAATGCCCCAGCCTCCATTTTTAGTTGGGGGGGGGGGCATACCTGGTTCTGCCCAGAACTTACTCCTGGCAGTTCTCAGGGGACTATGATTCAACCCAGCTTGGCCGCATACAAAACAAGCATCGAACCCCCTGTACTGTCTTTCTGGCCCCACTCAGAATGTTTTTAATATGCACACGTAGGATGCCTGGCATCATGAAAACAGACCTGTATGCTTGGGTGTCCTGCAGCTGAGTGGTAGCCCTCAGCACTAAGTGATCTGTGGCTCTGAGGAGACCACGAGATGGATGCAGTGTAAGGGCTCCAGAGAGGGTCTGCAGGAAGGAAGATGGAATCATAAAATGCTAGATGCTTACACCAGATGTGTAAATGTCGCATGAGGGAGAGTTGATGGGAGGGGGTAGGGGGAGCGATGAGGACTTGGAATCTGGATAAAATGTTACTCAATTTCATGCTATCATTTCCTATCAGCCTGTTATCACAGATTAGGACTTGGTGTTTGGAACTCAAGCCTTGCCCACACTCTGGCTCTGTCCCTGCTACAGTGGTGTCACCTCCTTGGGAGTAGGAGAGAGAGTTCCCCCACCCAGCAGGGAGCAGTGGGCCCTCACGTGAAGGCTCCTCTTTCCTGCCAAGGCAGAGGCGTCACCAGTACAGGGATAGGGTGGCCTGGAGCTGGGGGACTATGGAAGATGCCCCACCCAGGTTCCAGGTGTCGGGCAGCCCCACTGTCTGCTGTTGCTCTTCTGTGGATTCTGCAGCTTAGACTTTTCCGTCCTGACCCTTTGTTTAGTTCACCTGGCCTGAATTCTTGAGCTCCAGTGAGGTCAATGTGGAGGACTTCTGGGCCACAATGGAGACCGAGGCGATTGAGCAGGTGGCCTTCCCCACCAGCATCCCCATCACCAAGTTTGATGCGTCTGTCATCGCCCCCTTCTTCCCACCACTCATGCGAGGGGCCGTGGTCGTCAACACGGAGAGAGACAAGGACCCGGATGTGCAGCCAGCACCAGGTAAGGCCCTCCCTTCTCGTGGCCAGCTGGGCTCAGGAGGGACTGTATAGAGTGTGGGGCGCTGACCAGGGTAAAGCCACACCACAGGAGAGGGTTCTCCTGGAAGCAGAGCAGCAGCCTGTGGCCAAGAGTCTGAGGCATGGAAGTCCTGGGGTTATGAAGAGCTGCTTGCCAGAGTGTCAGGGTGGAGCCACAGTCACTGGCAGCCTCTGGGCTACACGGCACTGACCCCCAGACGCCCTCCCAGAGAGGCTGGCCTCCAGCCCAGAGACTCGTGGATGAGCTTGGGGGAGCACTAGGTCCCTCGTGCCAGCCAGCTGTGCAGGTGTTCTGACGAGTGGCTGACAGCTCGAGGTGGAATCCCAGCTGTCACCCCCGGTGTCCCCTTTAATTACTGGGGCTGCTGCTTTCCCCACCTCAGATGACTGGACATCAAGAGTCACTGATCCCCATTTGCTTTTTGTTTTTTTTATTGCAACCCTCAGTAAGAGATAGGTTTTGATCATGATACCTGTATTAATCTGCACTTGTATGTGTATCTGGAACTGAAAACTTCCAGAGGACGGTATTTTTTCTTGGCAAGGGCAGAGTATGATTTTTAGGAACTTAACATGGTTCAGGGCTGGAGAGAGAGTATAGTGGGTAGGCACCGTCCTTGCACGCCACCAACACGGGTTTGATCTCTGACATCCCATGTGCACAGCCAGAGGTAGTCTAAAAATCAAAAAAGAACTTAATGAGGGGCTAGAGAGAGAGTACAGGGGTTAAGGTCATGCCTTGTGTTTGGCCAGCCTGGCTCAGTTCCTTTTAAGCACAGAGCCGGGAGACAGCCCCGCGCACCTCAGTGTGGCCCGCTCTCCCCTCCCACAAAGGACCTCGTGTCATGGCTCACGCGAGGCAGACATGCCTCCACACTGGTGCCCACCCAGCACTTCGCTGCTTTAAAGCTCAGGAATTGCTCTTGTAGGCCCCTTAGAGGATGAGGTGAGCTCGGAACTTAGCACGGAGCATTCCCTTCGCAAGGGAGAGGTAGCTCTTCTCTCACACCCTAGTGAGCAGCCGAGCCCTGGCTTCTGACACCCTCGCCAGGCTGGAGGCGCATCATTTTGGACTCCTTTGTGTGGCTTCTCTGCTGCTCACCCAGGAATGTTCTAGGACATAATGGCAGGTCTGAGCCTTCAGAGGACAGGGCCTTGGGCTGTGACCACACCCGCTGGGCAGGGGGGAGCCCGGGGCTGGCCACAGTACGCGGCCGACTCAGTGCCGGGCCGTTTGCAGGAGACGGCGGCGCCCTGGTGCGGCTGCTGCAGGAGGGCAGCTGCCGGCTGGAGGAGCTCGGCTCCTACGACGAGGAGCACCTGCGGGGGCTGCTGCGCCGGTGTGCCATTCCCTTCACGGCCCAGGACTCCAAGGTGGGCTTCCCCGGGGCGGGGGAGGGGTGGGCGTGGGCCTGCACTCAGGAGTCCTGGCTTCCCCTTGGCAACGTGGCGCTCGCCTGCGGCCTGCTCCTGCCGTGGCGTCGGGGAGGGGGCCAGTGCCCACACTTTAGCGTGCGCCCGAGACTGCCCTCTGCCGAGAGGCTGCTGTGCTGTCTTGGAAACTGTCTGCTGCCGTCTGGAGGGGAGAGCTCTGGCTGGAGCAGCCCGGCGGACGCTGGAGCTTTTTGCTTCTGTGAGCCTGGGCCTCCTGTCCCCGAGCACGGGGCTGACTGTGACTGGTGATCTTGGCTTTGGATAAAGCAAGGGCTGGCTCGGTGCTCTCGGTCCCCCTCGGTGACCTTCTCCTTCTGCCCCAGGACCAGCTCTGCGTCTCTTTGCTGGCCCTCTACAAATCTGTCCAGAATGGAGCCAGAGCCACACAGCCACCGCCCCACCTCACAGGGGGTAAGATCTACAAGGTGTGCCCCCACCAGGTAAGAGGATGGCAGGATGGATCCCTGGGCAGGTGGGGGTCAGGGACGCCCTTCGGGATCATCCGCTCCGGCCATCCCCGATCTCAGCGGGGGGATAAGAACTCCGAGGAGCTAGTAGCAGGGCAGCTGAACCCTGTGCCGGCCCCAAGGAGGAGTGGGAAGGAATATCCTCGCAGCAGCGAGAGTGGCCACGGTCATGGAAGTCTGGAGACCAGAGGGGAGGCTTGGCTTTACTGAGGTTGGGTGGGGAACCCACCCGTTGGGCACCCTGGGTAGGCGGGCCGTGATCTGTTCCGGGCTCCTGGAAGGCCGTGAGCCAGGTGAGACGGTATGAGACCAAACGGGCTAAGACCGGGGTTTACGTGTGCGGGGAGTCAGCCAGGCCTCCCTCTCTCAGAGAGGAGCGGCAGCCTAGGGAGCCCCCAGCCGGGAGGGCGTGCTCAGAGGGTCCTGCCCATGGGGTGGCATACAGACAGCCCAGAGCCAGGAGCCTGAGCACTGTGCAGGGAGGGCACAGCCCAGGGCTGCTCCAGCACAGGTCTGGGTGGCGAGAAGGGTGCCAGCAGGCCTAGGTGGGGGTGCGAGCCTGCTTCTGTTTCTCCCTTGGGGCAGGGGTGAGCTGGCGCCCTGGCTTAGTCAGAGCAGGAGGGAAGTGGGCTCTCACTCCAGCTGCAGGAGGAGCCCCACAGAGCTCCCCTCACCCACCGTCCTTGTGTCCCAGGTGGTGTGTGGCTCCAAGTACCTCGTTCGGGGTGAGAGCGCCCTGGACCACGTGGACCTGCTTGCCTCCTCACGCCACTGGCCCCCTGTCTACGTGGTGGACATGGCCGCCCCGGTGGCCCTGTGTGCCGAGCTCTGCTACCCGGAGCTGACAAACCAGATGTGGGGGAGGAACCAGGGCTGCTTCTCCAGCCCCACGGAGCCGCCTGTGGTGAGTCCCCTTCGGGGGGGGGGGGGGGGGGCGTTTCTACAGAACAGGCGGCCTCAGCCCACACCCACCATGCCCTGCTGCCTGGAACCTTCGTCCCTTTTCCCCACTTCTCTTTGCCTCCATGCCCTGGAACCAGCATTTCCCTGCAGATTTACTGACTAGTGGGCCCTGCCTGGGACCATGGCATGTCACAGCTATGTGCCTGGGGTGTCCCAGCACAGCCTTCTGGGAGCCACAGGGCTCCTGCCAGCTAGGCATAAGACTCTGCTGGTGCTGTAGTCTCTGGACACACTGTCACGCCCATGTCCTGCACCGGCCCTGGCTGAGCTTTGACCTGGACTGCCATGTGACTGTCCACCCGCAGGCACAGGGCTAAGAGACCTGGGTAACCTGCTCCTTTCCCCAAAAAGTAGGTTCTGGACAGAGGCAGTGCCCTCTGAGGCACGCCAGGAAGAAGCAGCTGGTGCTGCTCACCTGGCCTTATACTGGGCCCTGGGGCTCCAGGACCACGGGCTGAGCCCCGGGGGAGGTGCTCCTTGGTGCTCCCCCTCGTCCCTGACACAGGAAACTTGGCGCTCAGTGACCTTAAGGTTTAAGCCAGCCTGCCCCGGCCTCCCTTCATAGCTGCTTCTCCGCTTCTCTCTCCTAGAATGTGTCCTGCCCAGAGCTCCTGGACCAGCACTATGCTGTGGACATGGCGGACACAGAGCACTCGGTCCAGCACCCGGTCACCAAGACCACTGCCCGGCGCATAGTGCACGCAGGCACCCCACCCGGCCCTGCTGACCCCAGTGCCGGACACCACTCCTTGACCCTGTGCCCCGAGCTGGCTCCTTATGCCGCCATCCTGGCCTCCATCGCGGACAGCAAGCCCAGCAGCGTCCGCCAGCGGCCCATCGCCTTCGACAATGCCACCCACTATTACCTCTACAACCGCCTCCTGGACTTCCTCACCAGCCGTGAGATCGTCAACCGGCAGATCCACGACATCGTGCAGAGCTGCCAGCCGGGCGAGGTGGTCATCAGAGACACCCTCTACCGCCTAGGGGTGGCTCAGATCAAGACTGAAGCTGAGGAGGAGGAGGGGGAGGAGGCGGCGGCGGCGGTAGCGACCGCGGCTGAGTAGCCTCGCGCTGTGGGACAGCACATCTCTGAAGCCATAGTGAGGCCTGGCGGGGTGGCCGGTGTGGGCCCTCCGATGCCGGGACTGACCAAAGAGCTTCCATCCCCCGGGCCCACAGCCTTGCTTCCACATCCCTAGGGTCGGGGGAGGCGCCGGGAGCCTGCTGGGGCTCCTCTGCAGAGGGAGGGCAGTCTAGGGGCCCCGGGCTGACTGCGGGGCAGGCGGGAGAGGGGTGCTGGAGACTCCCCGGGTGCTGTGGGCCCGGCTTCTCCCAGAGGAGGGGTGTGATTCTCTCCTGCTGTTCCGGACTGTCCTCCGCCCTGCCCCCTTCCGCGGGCCTGTGCCGTCCACCCGGTGGCTGGAGGAAACGTTCCCTTCCGTGAAGGGGAAGCAGACAGGGTGGGACGGGAACGCGGGGCTGCTCGGTGCCTGCGGTTTGCCAGGGCGCAGGAAGCGGCTGTGACTTAATTTATTGAGGGGAGCAGAGTCAGTGGCTTTTCCCCTCCCTCTTCCCCTGACGAGAATAAAAGTTTATTAACTGCTCTGTGGAGCCCCGTGGCCTGCGAGGCAGTGTGGGTGCGTGGTAGACGGAGGAGGCGCCGGCCCACCCGAAAAGAATCCGAGTCGGGCTGTGTTAATGCTGTTAGTTTAATAGCCGGCATCGGGACTGTGAGTCAACATGAGTCAGCAGGGGATGTGCGCTCTGGCCAGCCACGTGGGTCCCCGGCCTTCTGGCTCAGAATGGTGGGGGCACTGGGCTGTACCCCCAACTCACTGCAGCAGTGGGGTGGAGGGTCACGGGGCAGACCAGGAGGAGCCCCGTCTCCAGTGGGGGCAGCTCTGGGGGAGGGTCGTAATGCATTCCAGTCCCTGTCTGGGGGGTGGGGGCACGGGCAAGAGGCTGAGCAGGGGCTTATCCAGTTGGCACGGCAGTGAGGACCCTGGGGTGGGGTGGGGGTGGGGGGCTCAACCCCGGCCCCTGACTGGCAGTGTTGGCCCAGGCTCCGGGGCTCTGCTCTGGCCACCTGCGGGTCCCACCTTCCTGAGTTGGGGGCGGGGCTGGCCCGCTGATGACCGGAGCAGAGCATCTCCTCTCCCCACGGCACCTGTCCCTGGAGGAGAGGCGCTTTGAGGGGTGCGGGGTGCTGGGGGCCCCTCAGCAGAACTGGTAGTTGTTGGGCTGCAGCAGGGGCTGGCCGAGGTCCCCCGGCTCGCAGCAGGCCAGCTGTTCGCTGGAGCTCTCCTCCTCGGGCTCGCTGCCGCCCGCCAGGTTGGTGTAGTCCTGAGGGTGAGAAGCCAAGCCGTAGCCCGTGGTGGGCAGTGCGACCAGCAGGCCCAGCCAGGACTCGCACCGACCACCCAGCCCTGGCCACTCACCGGTGCTGTTGCATCCGCTTGGGCCTGCGCCTGCAGGAGGGAGCAGATGTGCTGGAAGGTGGGTCTGTGGGTGGGCTCCAGGGCCCAGCAGGCCTGCATGATGCTGTACCTGAGATGGGGCAGAGGCCACTCTGAGCCTGGGCCTCTGGCCAGCCCCTACTCCCTGGGGGGGGCGAGCAGGCTCCAGAGTGAGGATGGAGGTGGGGGAGCCCTGAGTGAAACAGACCGCCCAGATGCCCAGGATGAACAGAGTGAGAAGCCTGCCTGGGGCCGCGGTGGTCACACGAAGGAGGGACAGGCATGGTCCAGCTCAGGAGGGAGGCCTGTGGCCACCCGAGCTCCCTCCAAGGCAGGTTTGAGAGCCCCAGGGGGAAGCCAGGCCAGCCAGACCAGTAGGCTCTGGGCAGGGCAGCCAGGCCAGCCCCACCTTCAGCGGACCCTTCACTTACACATTCTTCGGGGCGAACATGGGCTGGGCCATTTGGTAGCCATCCTTCACCAGCTTATAGAACTTGCGGTCCACCAGGATGCCCGGATAGGGGTTCAGCCCTGCAAGGGCCATAGTCAGGTAGGAGGTCAGGCCTAGTGCTGACCTTCCCCTGCCTGCTCCACAAGGGCTCAGCGCCCCTGCCGGAGGGAGCAGCACCTTCCCTTGTGCTCAGAGTGGGCGAGGGCTGAGGCAGGAGAGCTCCAAGCAGAGGCACCGCCCAGCCTGCCCTACACACCCCCTTACCCCACCCCGGCCCCTGGTGCAGGCTGCACCGGCCTCACCGAGGGAGAAGATCTCCCAAAGGAGGATGCCGTAGGACCAGACGTCGCTCTGCACTGTGTACACGCAGTCGAAGATGCTCTCAGGCGCCATCCACTTCACGGGCAGGCGGGCCTAGCACCAAAGTCCGGGTCAGCTTGGGCCTGGCCCTTGCCCACCCGCAGGCTACCCCCATGACTCCCCACTCACGTTGCCTTTGACGATGTAATTGGAATCGTTCATGATGTCCCTAGCCAAGCCGAAGTCCCCGATCTTGGCCACGTGCCCGCTGGTGAGCAGCACGTTCCGGGCCGCCACGTCCCGGTGGATGCACTGGATTGGGGGAGGAGAGGGCACAGATGTGGGCTGTAGCCACGCCTGGCCCTCCTTGACCATCTCCCTGGCCCCTCCTGTTCCTCACACCAGGGCCCAGGAGCTGAGCCAAGTGCCGTGGGCAGACTTGAAAGCCAGCAGCCCTCTGGCCCCTTGGGGAAGAGGCGCTGGGGGCTGCATAGCCCTAGTGTTCTGAGTGGCCTCTGCTCCCTAGGACATACCAGTACCCTGCACTGCCAGGCGCTGCCCTGTAGGGGCAGGACATGAGGTTGGCAGAGTTGCTGAGCCCCTCAGCTGCAGACGCCCAGGCCCTGCCCTGTTGCCTGGCTTCCTCCTCCCCTGCCAACTCGGACTGTGGCTAGGAGACACCCAGTCGGAAAGGGCCCCTTCTGGGGACAGTGCCTCGCACTGGGCATGGCTGCCCACGCCCTCCGGGCGCGCTGGACACACTTCTCTGTCCTGACTTCAGCCTGAGGGGGCTCAGCAGCCCCAGCACCCCCGTCTAGGGACCTGGGTGGGGTCGAAGCCGGACTCACGTTCTTGGAGGCCAGGAAAGCCATGCCCTGGGCCACCTGGCTGGAGAAGTGCAGCAGGTCCTGCAGCTCCAGCGGCCGCTCTGCCTCCTTGTCCAGATCTGCGTGGGGAGAGGGGTCAGCTGGCCCCGCTGAGCCCCCCAGCCTCCCTGCCCTGCCCCTCACTCCACCTCACCTTACCTTGCTCGGAGGAGTCACTTGAAGAAGTAGAGACGGGCCTCATTTCCACGTAGGTGTCCAAGCCCTGGCTGGAGAAGCCACTGTCCCTACAAGAGCAAAGCCACGGCCATCGGTGCCTGACCACCCCCCCCACACACACACACACACACACTCAGGGCAAGGCAGACAGGACCCTCTGCACCCTGTCTCAGTACAGGACATGGCTGACACTGCTCTGGCCTTTCATAAAGCCCAGCTGCCCTGTGTCCACCTGTCTGCCCTCAGGGCCACAAACAAGCCGCCATTGTGGGCGTGGGGAATATTCTAGAGCCCCTTCATCCAGTCTTCTGGTCTGGACAGGGACTTTGATCCCTGGTTTCACATTAGAATTCCCCTGGGGACAGGGAAGAGTCCCACATCCTGCCCACTACAGAAACTCAGCAAATTGTCATCCATCATGCACTATCTGTGCTGTCCCGTGCAGCTGGACAGAGGCCCTGGCCAGGCGACAGCATAAGCACTGCTCTAGGCCCAGCAGCCTCTGACGTTCCAACAAGAGGATTTCTGGGTCTCCCTCTGCTGCCTCTTAGCCTCCTAGACAGGTGTCTGGGCACTGTGCGGTGTGTCCAGAAAGAACTTCCTGTTCCACGTATGGTCTGACCCTGCAGACCCCCAAAAGACTACTGTCAGTTCAGTCTGGGTCCTGAGGGGATACACCCAGCCACTGCCCTTGAGAGGACCATGCCTCCCTCTGCCGCAGTCTCCAGGACAGAGTCTGATCCCAGTTCTCACTTGGTCGGGACCTGGCCCGAGTCAGAAGAGGAAGCGGGGTCCGGCAGAGGACACGGAATGCAGGGAAACCATCTCCTTCCCCTTTTGCCTGCCGGGGCCCGGCAGCTGGCAGAGTCCAGGACAGAGCACCCCCCCCCCTTCACGTTCACATTCTCATTCTGATCTTGCCCCTGTCCCCCTGTAACCTGGCTTAGGGACCCCAGAAGCCCCCTGGCACCAGACCTTTTGAGTTGGGGGTCAGTGGGCTCAATGGGGGCCTGACCCAGGACTGAGAGGACACAGCTGCCTAGCAGCGCCCATGCCCTGACTCATGGTGGGGACGCGTCACTTCCTCTCGCTGCTTCCCCTACTCGGGGGCTGTGCCTGGGACGATTCCGGGAATCTCCACCCTGTAGACCCCAGCAGGAGCAGACTGAGGCCCGCGCGGATGGGGCCCACATCATCATCATGCTGTTTGGCCCTGCTTGTTGCTGTGAGGGCTGAGGTGGCTCAGTGGCCTCACGGAGGATGAACCTAAAGTCCAGGCCTCTGGCCGTCTTGGCTAACATTTTTTTCTTTTTGCCTTCTTGGGTCACAGCCAGCAATGTTCAGGGGTCATTCCTGGCTCTGCACTCAGGAATTACTCCTGGCGGTGCTTGGGGGACCACATGGGATGCCGAGGTTCGAACCCGGGTCGACCGTGTGCAAGGCAAACGCCCTACCCGCTGTGCTATCGCTTCAGCCCCTTGGCTAAACTTTTGATACTCTGAAATGACAGCTTCCTCCAGCCTTCTCTCAGTCAGACCATTTGCTGCCTGGCTTTGTCCTCAGGACACTGCCGGTGCCCAAATACTGATCAGAGGATGGGAATCAGCAGAAGGACCATGTTGCCCAACTGATAAGGGTGGCTGCTCACAGAATGAGCTGTTTGCAGTCACCCAGCCCTGACCCAGGCTGGCCTGGTCTTGAGGAACAGACTGGGAACCCTCCAAGCCTCCGCCCTTGCTTTGCCAGGGTCGTACCTGCGAACGTATTTCTTCTCCAGGTGGATGTTCTTGTAGCCAGAAACCACATCGGGCTCCTGGCCCAGACTCAGGCTGGGCCCCAGCATGGCCTCGGCCTTCCTCCGCAGGAAGTTGAGCAGATCCCCGTAGCAGCAGTACTCGGTGATGACCAAAACAGGACCTAGAGTGGGCCGAGAGAGTGCTGAGCTTCCGCAAGCCCATTCTGGGGACCCCGCAGGACATGGGGTGCCACCCGCAGGGTGCCCCGAGTTCTAACCATGAGCCTTTTACTCTGCCTTCTGGGCCTGAGTGACCCAGATCTATCCAAAGTGACAATGGGGGCCTGAGCATTCTGTGCTCCAAGAAAATCTATGATTCCTCCCTGATGAGCACTGCTAAGAGGAGGGGTCAGGAGACCCAGCCAGCCCCAGGCACCTCCGCAAACCCTGCCGGGGTGTGCAAGCGTTTAGCAAGGGGTGCCGTCCAAGACACAGAGGCTGGTACTCCAGAGCCCAACCCAGGGGTTTGTGAGGGGTCTCTGGGGGATACTTCCAGCCCTGCCATGTCTAAGAACCACCCGTGGGCCTGGCTAAGTTGTCTGCATCACCAGGAGCTTGGCGCTGACCCTGGGCCTCACCTCCGTGAGTGCAGGCGCCCAGCAGGTTGACAATGTTCTCATGCTGGCCCAGGTGACTCATGATCTTCAGCTCTGACATGAGTGCCTCCTTCTCATCTGCGTGAGCCGTGGCTGGGAGATGGGACCACAGTCACAGAGGCTCGGGAGGGCAGGACACGGAGAGCCCCACAGACAGTCAGGGAGTGATTAGGGGGTGCCCAAGGCCAGGAGAAGGAGACACAGACAGGGAGACAACACCGGCTGCTCTCAGTTCACAGAAAGTGGCAGAACAGCCAGGCAGGGGCCCTCAGCATCTTGGCATCCTGCCTCCTGATGGCGGTTTGACTCAAGACGCCCCCGGGGGCTGCCCACAGGCAAGACCAGTGCTCTACTGCTGCCCAAGCTTCTTTGGGACCCAGGGGTCCTCCCCATCCCTGGGCTCTGCCCCCTAGCCTGAGCAGTCGGAGCCTGGAGGCTCCCTAGGGCAGCCCAAGTCCCCTCACTCACACTTCAGCATCTTCACTGCCACCTTCAGCACTGCATCTTCCTTGCCCAGCCCGAAGGCTGTGGCCTCCACCACCTTCCCGAAGGCGCCAGCCCCGAGGGTCTTTCCTGCCATGTACACAGCCTCGTGAGTGCCCAGTACCTCCAAAGGTGCCCCCCTCACCTAGCCCTCTGAGCAGAAGGCCCCATCTCACCAAACTGCAGGTTGTTTCGGGGAAACTCCCACTTCTCATTGTAGGGCAGCTGCATGGGGTCGATGAAGGTGTAGTTGTTGCCCTCATAGCTCTCCAAGATCTTCCAGCGCACCTGGTACTTGGGCTTCTGCAGGGACCAGAGACAGGCAGTGGGTGGACTTAGCAGTGGGCTCCTGAGGACAGGCCCATGTCCGTCCCTGCACTGGGCAGGGGTGGGGGATTTGGGGGGTATACATAGCAGGTGTGGCCCCGCAAGTGGGGAGGGGCTTTGCCAGCTCAACCCAGCTCCGTGCCCATGTGGTGGTCACTTCTCCAGTTCTAGTTTCCCTGCTTGTATGTTCAGAAACAAGGACAGAGGCGTCTTTGGTGTCCTGACGCTGATCATTTGCTGAGTCCCGCAGGAGGCTGGAACCTTTTTTTTTCTTATTCTTTTTGGGCCCACCCTGTGATGCACAGGGTCTACTCCTGGCTCTGCACTCAGGAATTACTCCTGGCGGTGCTCGAGGGACCATGCTGGGAATCGAACCTGGGTCGGCCACGTGCAAGGCAAATGCCCTACCCGCTGTGCTATCTCTCCAGCCCCCAGGAGGCTGGAACTTGATCCATTCACTCACCATCCATCCATCCATCCATCCATCGAAATACTGTTATTTTATTTTGGAGGGTATTTAGGGGACACACTTGGTGGTACTCAGGGCTTCTCCTGACTCGGGGATCATTCTTGGAAATGCATGGGGGATCCTGTAGTGCCAGGGATTAAACCCCCGGATTGGCTGTGTACAAAGACAAGTATCCCCACCACTGTATTATCTCCTGGCCTGTTTCTATTTAAACTGTGGTTAGTACATGTGTCTTACCAAGCACCGTTGCCAGGCACTGTTAGATTCAGAGAGGAGGGAGGCAACGTCTCTGTCCTAAGGAGTTTGCATCCAGTGGCTAAGACAGACCTTCAACCCTCAACAGATAAAGATGAGGAGCTTCCCTGATCTCTCTGAGGGTACTTCCAAGCAGTGCTGGAAGGAGAGTGAAGCAGGGGGTGTGACCACGATTGCTCCACGTCATAGCTCAGGGGTACAGGAGTTGCTGAGCACTGTGTGTGTCCCCGCGGTCCCTCCACGTCATAGCTCCGGGGTGCAGGGGTGACAGGCCAGTGATTTGCAGGCCCACATGCCTGCAGACTAACATCAGTCTGGGACCAGCTGAAACCAGAGACCCGTTGACAATCACCCGTTGATGCTGTCTAGATTTGTGTGACCACGCACGACAGTCAGAACAAAGAAATAGCCGCTAACCTGTTTCTCAGGACAGTTCCCTGCGGTTGAGTGGACACGCTTCATAGGACAATGAGGGTACAACTCCGGCATGCCAGAGTGGGGGCGGGGGGAGCGGCTGGGGAGTGGGAGGGGGTCAGCACATGACCACAGGAGGCACAGAGCAGAGAGGCGGAGGCCAGACAGGGCAAGGGGAAGCCGGTCCAAGAGGTCAGAAGGCAGGGCAGGTGTAGGCTTCTGGGGACAGGAGGGCCTGGGGCACCTGAGCTCATCCTCAGGTTTTTCCGAACCAGCCAGGGTTCAGTTTGGAGTTCCTGCCTGGGTGGCAGCCATGTGGGGGCATCAGCTTGGGGTGCCTTCAGAAATGCTGACAAAAGCCAATTAGCGGAGTGGGGTGGGGAGTGGGGCTGTGGAGGTCTCGGTCAGGACTCCAGGCCACTTTCCTGTCAGGCCTGGCGGGGGAGGGGGGACACGCCACGCAGTCCCCCACAGCTGGGCTCCCTCCCGGCTGCTGCTGGGGAAACAGGGAGCCGCCCTGAAGGGCCGGTGAGCGGTTGCTGTGAGATGGGGCCGGCCGGGGGACACCAAACTCCAGAACAGTTAGGCGGGAAGAGGGTTCCCGTCACAGAGGGCACCCGAGGCCTGGGGGGCAGCAGTTAGGGCCTGGCTGAAGGGCTCAAGGAGGAACCCTAAGAGTCGGGAGGCCTGTTCTGCGTGGGCGCTTCCCTGCCCAGGGCCCAGACAGCGGTGGGATTCCTTGACCACCCCGGCCACTTCCATCTGCAGGGGCCTCCACAGGCTGGCCACCATCCCACCACTTCTCCTTCGTGCCTCCCCTGCAGCCAGGCATGCTCAGTCTACCCCCTGCCACCCGCCCCACCCCGGTCCACCTTGCCCCCAGCAGGGGTCTTAGATGGTGGGTCTCAGTCCCTCACCACCTGCAGGAGAAGCGGCCCTCTGCAGCCAGCCCCTGGGCATGGACCTCCTTCCTGTGGGGGCTGGCCCCTGCCCCTGGCCTCTGCTGGCCCCGAACGGGGCGTGCGTGGGGCTGGGGCCTCGTTTCCAGGGTGACAGGCTTCCCTGCTGCCCTCCTGGTGCAAGTGGGCCCCTGGGTCTCCGCACAGGCCTGAATTCACCCAGGCCTCCCTTTGGCCACCCAGGGGCATGAGGTATGTCCCGGGGTCTCCTGTCTGAGCCTGCTGGCTTTGACCAGGGCCATTCTCCAGCTTGGGAAGGGAGAGAGTGCAGCAGCCCCTACTGGGGACCCTGCTAGCCTCATGTCCTCACCATTGTCCCCCAGAACCCTGGCTCTCCGTCACCGCCCCCTCATTCCCTGCTCCGCCACCAGCCTGCTGACTTCTGCCCTTTTCTCTTCCCCCTCCGCACTCCTGTGGTCTCTGGGGTGATGACTCAGCTCTGAGGCACAAACACCCTCCCCCAGACAGCCTGCCCTCCCCACCTCCTCTGGCCCAGAGGAGGACCCCCCAGACAGCAGCGCCCCCACCTAAGAGTAGGGCAGAAGAGAGGGTTCCTCAGCTTGGGCATGGCCACCTGAACCCAGAAGGCCTTGTCCCATGGGGCGCCTTCCTTCTCATGGGGCAGGGGCTATGTCCTGAGTGAGAAAGAAGCTGTGTGGGACCCATGTTCCAAGAATGGTCGCACAGAACGAGGACGGTCCATCCCGGAGCCCTGCAGGCCTGGGGCCGGGCAGCCAGGGCAGCAGGGCTGGGCTCAGCGAGGCTGTCCTGGGCTAAGGAGGCCACTTTCAGCACCATATAAGGAGGAATTTCACAATAGACAGCCACGAGAGGACCTGGGGACCTGGCCCCAGGCAGGGGAAAGCTGGCCCAGTGGCCACTCTGAGGGTGTTGTCAAGTTGCTGCCCGACCTCAGACACCTCGAGTCCTGAGCCGGCCTGAGCTGGGCCCTTCCGCTTCCCCCGGAGGCGCAGGGCCGCCTTTCTGAGACAAGTGCCCTACCTGCTGTACTGCCTTACCACTCCTGGGGTGGGGGCTCTCAACTCTGGCCAGGTATACCATGGTGCTGGTGGGGAAACAGACCCAGAGAGGGCAGTGAGTCAACTAAGGTCAAAACACAGCGAAAGAGGGTCAGAGCTGTCCCCTCATCCCTGAAGCCTTGATCTCAGCTTTAGGGGGAGCTCTGCTGAGCACAGTGAGCTGGGGTCCCCCACACCTCCCCGTCCTGTTTTCTCCTAGTGCTCTTTGTACCCTGGAGGGAAGGCAGGGAGGGGGTCCACTGGGTGTCTGTTGTCCTAAGTCGCATCAAATCCAGCAATGGCTCTGAGCCAACAGGCTGGGGTCCAGCCAGCTGCGCCCCCTCCTTAGGGCCCAGTGTGTGCACCTGCCTGAGAAGGCTGTTGGGGTGACATGCGAGGGTCCTGGACTGTAGGACCTGGCGGTGCAGCTGGCAACCCCCCTGGGGTCCACAATAACCAAGACATCACAGCAGCAACCCGGGGCCCCTCCAGATCTCCTCCACAGGCACTTTGATCCCCCAACCAGAGCCTCGTCTTCTCCTCAGCCCTCCTGGTGCCTCCTGGTCAGGTTTCTGGAAATCTCCCATTCCCTGCCGCTTTGGGCAGCCCTGCACAGTCCTGACCACGCGGGATTCCAACGGCCCCTCAGCGCCCCACAGTGCGAGCCTGCTTCCCTCCTACAGAATGCTGGCCACTGGCCTCTAGGGCCTGGCCTCGGGCTTGTGTGGGGCCAGCAGTAGGCGGCTCAGAGGGGAAATAGGGGCCAAGGACAGGTCTGCAAGTCAGCCCTGGGAACGCTCAAGCTCTGCAGAAAGTCCCTGCTGCGTTGGATCAGGGGGCATGGGTGGCGTGCTTCAGGAAAGTCGTCCTGAAGAGGTCACTGCTGTCCCTCAGAGTGACAGAGCCCAAGGGTGAGGCAAACACGCCCCTCCAGCACTACCCCATATCCCCGGTCTGCTGGCGCTGTCCCCTCACGGGACGCTCCTGCACCCACACCTCCCCGAGCCTGGGGACTGGGTGCAGAGCTGCAGGCAGGAAGGTGGGTGTCAGGGTGGAGGGCACCAGCCGGCTCACCTGCTTATACTTGTAGAGCAGCAGCAGCAGCAGCAGCAGAAGCACGGCCGTGACCGACATGCAGGCCAGCAGGACGGGCGTGAAGAGGGTCTCCTGCAGTGGCTGCCAGTCGGCTTCTGGGAGGCAGTGAGCAGCGGGGTCAGCAGGTGACCCCGAGGGCGGTGGCAGAGACCTCCCACATACCCTCCCGCAGTGCCCCCACCCCTCCCCACACTCAGTCCTGCTCTCCACAGGGCTGGTGGGCTCCTGACATCGGGAGGGGTGCAAGGGGCCTGCTTCGGTAGCAACTTGGCCCTGTGCTCACCGCGTTCCCCGAGGAGGGGTGGTCCCTGCTGCTCGGGCAGAAAGACCAGAGAGTCACCCTGAAATCTGCTTCCCCGGGAAGTCCCCCCAAGTGCCCTGAGGAACCGCCCAGCCCTTTGGAGGTCAGGAAGCAGCTCACTTCTCAAGGGACAACCCGGGTTCTCTCTGTGAGTTTGAGCCCCTTCTCTGACTTAACCGGGGGGGGGGGGGGGGGGGGAGTGTCGGAGGCCAGTCTCCTCTCTGCTATTTAGGGCTGGCGGAACTGACCGTCCCCAGTCCAGCCAGAGGGGAAGCAGAGCCACCTCCCAGGCCCTGGCGCCAAGGCCAGCGGTGTGGGCCCTCGGGGCCGGGCAGGGCCCACTTCCTCTGTCCTCTCAGGGCTGGCCCAGGGTGTTCGGGGCTGGGGTGGTCTCTGCACCCGGGGCTCCAGGTTCTGACTGAGAACCGGGGAAGCTGCCAGGCTGCACACAGAAGCTCCCTCTTCTCCGAGCGGTAGCGGAGCTAGTGCCATGCCCAGCAGCAGCCCCTCCAGGGCCTCCAGGAGGACGCAAGTTCTCGAGACCCGGGTCAGACCCGCACCACATGTATCAGGGACAGGTGAGCGAGCTCAGGGCCCGTCCATGCTGATGGTGAGCCCAGGGTCTGTCCATGCTGATGGTGAGCCTAGGGTCTGTCCACGCTGTTGGTGAGCTCAGCTTGGGCATCAGGGGGAGGCTTTCACTGACCACACATCTTCTTTCCTCTCATTCCCCACATGTCCAGTCTCACAGGCTCTCAAGGCCCTCCTGTGTCCTCCTTCAGGAGGCCTTGGCTGGGCACACTGTGGTCAGGCCCAGGGGCCAGCAGCCGGCCTCTCCCCAAGGTAGGCGGTGCCCGGCACTCACCAACTGTGATGGGCCAGATGTTGTGGGAGCTGTTCCCTGCCTCATTGTTGGCGCGACACTCGTACGTGCGGTTGTGCTCCCAAAACCCCAGCGCCAGCACGCTCTGCACCGCCACCTTTTGGAAAGGCTCCTGGCTCAGGACCTGGGGCTGGGGGTCCTCCAAGAGCTGCCCTCGGGCCTCATCGCACCTGGGAAGAGCAGGGCACAGCTGGGAGTTTGGCGACGCCCGCCCCAGCCCACCACCTGGGCAGGAAGGTCAGCGGTGCTCCCTTACCTGTCAATGCGGCCCCCACACTGCAGCCAGGTCACATTGGGCTGGGGATAGCCAGAGACGTCACAGACTAGAGCCTCGGAGCCGTTAATGATGGCCCAGGTGACGCGAACCTCTGGGGGATCTTATAAGGGGAGGAGGAGAGAAGGGAGGGATTCAGCTGAGGCCCCAATTCCCTGGCCTGACCACCCCACATTCGCCCCCCCCAACACAGTTCATCTCTCCATGAAACTGTGAAGACCCCACACCTGAGCATACCCCAACACTCACATCGTAAAGTGAGGGCGAAGGTGAGGACCTTGGTGCCATTGGCGTTCCTGGCGAGGAAGGAATAGTGGCCAGCCTCCGAGGGTTTCAGGCGGGGCAGGTTAAGCATGAAGCTGTATCTGCACGAGAGAGCGGCCAGGCTTGCGGTTAGGGTGCAGCCAGTGTCAGGGGCCTGGAAGACCTTCCCGGTAAGACTGACAACCAAGGACAGTAGACACAAGGGCCAAAAAGATTGCTCCATGGTGGGAAGCCTGCCTCATAAGCTGGGGGAGAAGGCAGCTGGGATAGAGAAGGGATCGCCAAGTTAGTGTTGGTTGGAAGAATCATTCAGGATGGGAGATGCGTGCTGAAAGTAGATAAAGGACCAAATGCAATAGCTTCTCAGTATCTGTATTGCAAACCATAATGCCCAAAAGTAGAGAGAGGGGCTGGAGCGATAGCACAGCGGGTAGGGCGTTTGCCTTGCACGCAGCCAACATGGCCAACACAGATTCGATTTCCAGCACCCCATATGGTCCCCTGAGCACCGCCAGGAGCAATTCCTGAGTGCATGAGCCAGGAGTAACCCCTGAGCATCGCCAGGTGTGACCCAAAAACAAAACAAAACAAAACAAAAAAGTAGAGAAAGAGTATGGGGAATATTGTCTGCCATGGAGGCAGGGGGAGGGTTGGAAAGGTGGAGGAGGATAGACTGGGGACGTTGGTGGTGGGGAATGTGCACTGGTGGAGGGATGGGTGTTTGATCATTGTCTGATTGAAACTCAAACATGAAAGCCTTGTCACTATATCTCATGGTGCTTCAATTAAAAAAAAGTAAATTAATAAAATAAAAAAAGAATTATGAGTTCTACTGAGGCAGACACGGGAGCCTAGGGACACACCTTTTAGCACCATCCCTGCTGGGCTCTGGCTCCTCAGGGATCAGCCTTGCTCAGAGGGACTGTGGAGGGGGGAGGCTGGACATGGCCCTGGGGCTACAGGAAAGAGGGGGTGGGGCCCAGGTAGCCACTGCTCTGCTGTCCGACATCTCCCCAGTCCTCAGACCTCTACTCCTGCACTTCCTGTCTGTGGTGTCGATGCAGCTGTGAGAGGCTATCACGTTTGGTCCTTTATCTACTTTCAGCACACATCTCCCATCCCGAGTGATTCCTCAGGGCACTCAGCTATGTGCCTTTTCTCCCTCCATGTCACTGTCACTGTCCTCCCGTTGTTCATCGATTTGCTCAAGCGGGCCCAGTAACGTCTCCATTGGAGACTTTGTTGTTACTGTGTTTGGCATATCGAATACGTCACAGGGAGCTTGCCAGGCTCTGCCGTGCGGGCGAGATACTCTCGGTAGCTTGCCGGGCTCTCCGAGAGGGGCGGAGGAATCGAACTCGGGTTGGCCGTGTTAGCTGCGTGCAAGGCAAATGCCCTACCGCTGTGCTATCGCTCCAGTAGGGTGTTTGCCTTGCACACAGCCAACATCTCCCTCCATGGTGCCCAGAAAAGGCCCGGAAGCAAATATTGGACAACCAAAGATGGTTTTGTTCATTTGCTTGACTTCTTTTTTCCCCCTTTTCTCTTTCTTTTGTCTAGCAGTTTTGGATCCATATCTGCCTTGGGACTGGGGTTCCTCCAGGAGCTGCCCTCAGCCGCATCACCCCTGGGAAGAGCAGAGCACAGCCCCAGGCCTGCGCCATGTGGAACAGGAGCTCAACCCTTGGAGAATCGCTCTATCTTGTGTTTCTTTGGGGGCCACACCTGGTGGTGCTCAGGGCATACTCCTGACTCTGTGCTCAGGGTATAGGCTGCTGGGGATTGAACCCAGGTCAGCCGCATGCAGGGCAAACACCCTCACCGCTGCACTCTTGCTCCAGTCCCTAAGTGCTATTTTGTGCCTTGTGCAGGCACTAAGTCACGGTCACGGTCCTCCCGTTGTTCATCGATTTGCTCGAGCGGGCCCAGTAACGTCTCCATTGGAGACTTTGTTGTTACTGTGTCTGGCATATCCAGTACTCTCGGTAGCTTGCCGGGCTCTCCGAGAGGGGCGGAGGAATCGAACTCGGGTTGGCCATGTTGGCTGCGTGCAAGGCAAACACGCCCTACCGCTGTGCTATTGTACTAAGTCACGTTTTAAAAATGAAAGCTAGCAAGTGGTTTTCTTAGAAAACATTGAAGCCACATGTTTTAACCCATGATGTTCCGAGGGCAGCCTCCAAGGTCCAAACCCCACACGCAAGCTTCACGGGGGTACCGTAGAGATGACCTTTCTACCTCTCAAACAAGACAACTGGACTTCTCTGGCTCACTCTATCACCTCACGTCTCGCCTGTCATAGAAGCGGGGTGCGCCCTTCTGAGGCCTTAAGGTCCGTGCCTGGCTGAGTGGCCCTGGCTAGTGTCTGCTCTGCCCATGTTTCTCTCAGACCTCCAAAGCCTGTCCATGGGGGGCTGGAGCGATAGCACAGCGGGTAGGGCGTTTGCCTTGCATGCAGCCAACATGGCCGACACAGGTTCGATTCCCAGCATCTCATATGGTCCCCCGAGCACCGCCAGGAGTGATTCCTGAGTACATGAGCCAGGAGTAACCCCTGAGCATCGCTGGGTGTGACCCAAAAAGCAAATAAATAAATAAATAAATAAAACAAAGCCTGTCCATGAAGCAGAAAAGATGGGAATGGAGTTGGAGAGAAGATTAGGACCATGGCACGCCCCTGCCAATCTGATGGTGGGCAAGTAGGAATCCAGGAGGAACTGAGGCCTGGGTTCAGGAACTGGGAGAAAAGCACCACTGGGGAGTGGGGAGTGGGCTAAGGCTACAGCTGGCCCAGCTCTGTTCTTTGTGGGCTTGTTGATATTTGGGGGCCATACGCAGCCATGTTCAGGGCTTACTCCTGGGTCTGCACTCAGGTGGTCACTCCTAAAGGGCTCAGGGGACCATATGGGGTGATGTGGATCGAACCCAGGTCTGCCATGTGCAAGACAGATGCCCTCCTTGTTGTATTATCACTGCAGCCTGACCCAGTTCTCTTTGAAAGAGCTGATCATACCTGCAAACTGGCGAAGGGCTGAGGCTGCCACTAGCCTCAAGATGTCTTCAAATAGGGCAAGGGGTGCAAGGTTCTGTCAGGAGCAGGGGTTACCATACCCAGCCACCATGGTCCCTCTCCTCTCTCAAGGAGAAGGCATTGGAGTGGGCTAGAAGCCAGGGAAGAAACTGTTACTTCAAAGCTAAACGGAGAGCTCCAAGGTCTGAAGGGCAGTTCAGTATACAGGAGGCCCTGGCTCGGTCCCCGACACCTCACAGTACTCTGAGCACTGCTGAGAGCAACTCATTAGTACAGAGCCAGGAGTACTCCCTGAGCATAGCCAAGCATGGCGTTAAAATAAAAATAGGCATGACCAGAGAGTACAGCAGGGAGGACGCCTGCCTTCATGCAGTCAGTCTGGGCTCAGTCCATCCCTTATGGCCTCCTGGGCCCACCATGAGTGATCCCTGAGTGCAGAGCCAGAACTAAGCCTTGAGCATCACCAGGGGTGGCCCCCAAGCCAAAAATAAATAAAATAAAACAAAGATAATCAAAATGCAAACAAAAGAGGAAATATTATTTCAGTATGTAGGTCAGTGTTGGGGGCCAGGTCGTTGATAAATGCCATTGTAACAAAACTACCTGGCTGGGCCACTTTGGATGGGATACTATGATCCTTAGTCCAGAGTCCATGGTGAGACGAGAAAAGAGATTTCTAAAATGCTATGCCTACGGGTTTAGCCCCCAGGAGGCCTTCCCGGAGACAGCAGGATTCTCAATCTCGAGCACAGGGGATGAACACCAATTGCTGATGGCACCAGAGAAAGTGTGACCCAGAAAGCTTGTTCAAGGAGATGAGACCTAGGCCCCAAGCTTCTGACATTGGCCACTGGCTGTGGGCGACACAGATGGGACCGAGACGTGTACCTGTATGCTTCCCTTTTGGTAGTGAAATCGAGCTTGGGCTGGTGGTCAGGAAAGGGTCCCAGGTAGGTCCAGTTAAAAGCTTGCAGGCTTGGGTAGGCCTCCACGTCGATGCTGAGGCTGAGCCTCTCACCCACGGTTACCTCCTGGAACAGGTTCTGCTTGGTGGTCAAGTTCAGGTAGGGACCCTCTGCAAAGTGGTACACAAGTGCCAGTTACTCCCCCGACCCTGAACATGCCTACCCCTGTCCTATCTCCCCATTGCCTCAAAGCCACCGACTTCCTTCCCTGAGTTCCCAGAAGGACCTCAGCAAAGTCCTGTTCTCCAGGGGACTCCCACCTTCCTACTTGTATAACCAGGAGATTAACTAGATCTATAAATGAAAACTCTCTAAAATAGTTTTGAAATAGAAACCATTTGTTGGGCCAGGGGTATGGCTCAGTGGTTAGAGAGAAGAAGGAAGGAAAGAAGGAAGGAAGGAAGGAAGGAAGGAAGGAAGGAAGGAAGGAAGGAAGGAAGGCAAAAGGGAGGGGAGAGAGAGGGAAGGGATGGGATGGAGGGAGGGAAGGAGGGAAGAGGAGGGGAAGAGAAAGAAGCATCTTTGGTCTTCCATAGGCCTCTGCAACTCCTTTTCCAGCAATGGTTCATCCAATGCAACTTCCACATCTGACTGTGTGTGAGAACCAGTGTCCATCAGGGGAATCTGTCTTTGGGGCCAGTGATTTGTTTAGAGGCAGTCATGATACCTCTTTCCATGATTTTGGAGAGGGCTCTGATAAAAAGAAAGGACCCTTGTACCCCTAGGTTTACTGAATCTGATTCATCTTGGGGTTCCACCCAGAGGAAGGCTGAGTGAGTCCTGCAGGACCATGGGGAACTGAGAGCTGGACACAGCAGGATCTTGCCTGAAGCCTCGGGACACTCAACTCCGACTCTGTCTAAAGCAGCCATGGACTTTGGGGCTCTGAGGTCAATACAATCTTCTCTCTCTCTCTCTCTCTCTCTGGCTTTTGGGCCATACCCAGGGATGCTCAGAGCTTACTCCTGGCTCTGTGCTCAGGGGTCACTCTTGGTGGTGCTTAGGGGACATATGGGATGTCTGAAATCAAACCTGAATCAGCCAGGTTGGCCACATGCAAAGCAACTGCCCTTCCCATTGGACTATCATTTTTGTCCCAATATAATCTTCTCTTGATGAGGCCGATTTGAGTTGGCTTCTGTTACCTGTACCTGACCAGTGCCCTCTCATTAAATCTTGCATGGATTTAATTCAGGCTGCTCGGCTGAAGATTTGGGGCAAGACTAGTCCTGTTTGCTCCTCCTCTCCAGGTTTCTTATGGAAGCCTCCACAGCGCCTTAACCCCCCAACTCTGCAAAAGTCTCTGGACACTCGCTAAGAACCCCTATCCTCATTCAATCCTAGAGAACTAGAAGGCTTTTCTGGCCTCTGACATGTAGCTGCTCAAGACTCCCAGGAGCAACCATTGTCTCTCCTAGCTCTGCATCCGAGGGTCTCCTCAGCCAGGACTCCGGGCTGCCCCTCTAGCCATACTCTCTCTTCCAAGGCCACCCCCTTGCCCCAGTCGCCCCCTTGCTGGGCTCCTGCCGATCCCTGAGCACGTCACACGCGTCCCAACCTGGAGCCTTTGCTCTGGCCATTTCTTCTGCCTCTTCTTCTCTCCAATTTTACATCCTTCTAGGCTCTTCCCTCTCTGGCCTGAACCACTGCTGTGGCCTCTGAGAGCCCTGTGACTCTCCTGTCTCACTGGGTTCCTCAGGAAAGCACCAGAAAGTTCTGCTTGTCCTGTTCCAGACTGGTCCGATGTGGGATCCTTTTGGTCCACACTCCGCCACCAACCCCTACCTCTCTGCCTGCAGAGCCCACGGTAGCCTCCCCTTCCCCTAGCCTATCTCACCTCTCCCCCGTGCTCCCCACAGCCATGCAGGCATCTCCTTTGCTGGTCCTGCTGGAGCCCCCCCTCCCCCCCGCCCGACACCTGCAGCTCTCTTCACTCTCTGCAGGACGCCCTGTCCCAGGCCCTGCCAACTCTCCAGAATCAGTTTCCCAGCGGAAACATTCTTGCTGGCTCTGTCTTGCTCCTCAGCTCCGTCCCCAGGCGCCCAGTGCAGGTGCTGCCCATGGTCCCGCTGTGCTGTGGGCACTATAGGGGCGGTGCCCATGCAGCCACCAGCACCCAGTGTCCTGACTGCTGGGGGCCGCAGACTCTGGTACCCCATTCCCGGCCAGCTTCAGTCCGGTCCACATCAACCTTCTCTCTTCTCCAGCTTCCTGCCTCCTCTTGGCGCACGAGGTGCTGAACTGAGTCTTCTCGGCCCAGTCTCCTCACAGGACTTGGGCAGTGCTTACTCTGCACCTGGCCCTCTTCCGAGAATACACACATCACACGCACATGCATGCACTCGCAGACTCATACTGTCACACACACATCCATACGTTTAACCACACACATAACTCTCATACACATACACATTCACACGTTTACACCACACACACATGTACACACACAGCTCACATACACATTCACATATGTTTACCTTACACACCCATACACGCTCACACACACAACTCTCATATGCACATTCGCACATGTTTACACCACACATACTCACACATTCACACACAACTCACATACACATTCACATGTGTACACCACTCATACACTCACACTCACATTCACACACAACTCTCACACACACATTCACACATGTTTACACCACATAACTCTCATACACACATTTGTGCCTGCACTAAAACAGTCACATTCTCACTTTCACACATGCTTACACTCACACTCTCACACTCATGCATTTATACACTCATATACTTACACTCACTTTCAACTCTCATACACACACGCATTCACACATATGCACACTCACACACCTCTCACGCATCCTCATTTAATTCTCACCTAGGAGGCAGTTACTGTTAGTGTCTCCATTTTGCAATGGGGAAACTGAGACCCAGGAAGGTAAATAGCCACGAAGTCAGCAGTGGAGCCGGCGGGAAGGCTGCTCGGAACGTGCAGCTCCTGACCCCGTGCAGTGCCTCCTCTGTGCCACCTGTTGCCCTGACACTCCTCTGTATTTATGGACTTGTTTGTTTTATGGGGCCACACCCAGCTGTGGTTAGGGGACACTCCTGCCATGCTGGGGATCCAACTCAAGGCTCCAGCAAGTAAACACGTTCTCCCGCCCTTTGAGCCTTCTCCCCATTCCATCCCTCAGCCCTTTAAAACTGTCCACAAAACAGGAGCCAGGAGAAATGATCAATGGATGGAAGCTTGCCACAAGAGTGTGTGTGTAGGGGGGGAGGGCGAAGGGCAGATAGGAGAGAGAAGGAACCAGTATGACAATGATGGTTGGAAGTAATCATTTTGGGCAGGAACTAAGTGTTGAAAGTAAATAAAGGGACATAAATGATAATCTTTCGGTATCTATATTGCAAACTATCAGGCCCAAAAGGTAAGAGGGGGGAAGGAGATAGAGAGGGAGAGTGAAAGAGAAAGAGAGAGAGGGAGAGCGAGCGAGAGAGCGAGAGCAAGAGGGGGGGAGAGAGAGAGAGAGAAAGAGAAAGAGAGAGAGAGAGAGAGAGAGAGAGAGAGAGAGAGAGAACTAAAGCCCCTGCCATAGAGGCAGCTGGAGCGGGGGAGGTGGGGGGTGTGGGAGGGAAACTGAGGACATTGATGCTAGGAAACGCACACTGGTGAAGGGAACATTATACGACTGAAACCCAATCATGAACAAATTTATAACTGTGTATCACACTGTGATTCAATTAAAAATCAACCAATCCATTAATTTAATTAAATAAAACTGTCCATAGCCTCCAGACGAATCGGGTGCAAGCCAGCCCTTTGCCTGGGTTCTGCTTGCCTCTCCACTCCTGCGTGGATGCTGCCACCACCAGCCCATGGACCCCCGCTGGTGCTCTCTGCCTCTGACACTCGCCTGTGATGTTCCCTCTTCCAGAAATGCTATTGTCTGCTTCTCCTGCTCCTCTACCGGCTAATCAATTTTTGTTCTTTCTGTTCAGCTCAGAGACCTCTATACCCCCTAACACTGGTTGAGAGGTTTCCCCCCACATACACCTGCCCTCTGCCCAGGGATCTCAGGACCCTGAAAGGATCATGGTCTGTTTAGGAGTTCATGTGACATAAATTTTCCAGCCATGAAGATATGAGTTCATGAATGACGACAAAGTCCAGTGATCTTAAGCACAGCAAGCACAACTAAATTAGAATGCAGCTGTGCATTCAGGGGGCTCCCAAAGAGTGTCTCTGCCAGAGGGTCTGGAAGGCGCCTAGGGACGGGCTTCAAGCCAGTTCTAGGGAGAAGTTCTAAGCTGTGTCTCCCCTGCCAACAGCTCCCGGATGCTCACCCACCACCCGGAAGACCATGGAGGTGGAGCGGACGCCCTGCGCGTTGGTGGCCACGCAGGTGTAATTGCCAGCATGATGGAAGTCTACAGGATCCAGGCTGAGGGTCAGGACTTTCTGATAACGCTTATCGAGGAAATCCGTCTGCTGAGCGATGGGGAGCTGTGAAGGGAAGCGAAGAGAAAGGGATACCCAGGTTGCTTAGGGATTAGAAAGATCCAGGTTGAAACCATCCACTGCTCAGGATTCGTGGTATTTCCTTGGGCAAGGGACTAAACTCAGAGCCTTTGCTGCCTTATCTCGGATGTGTGGGACCCTTTGGCCCTGCGCTGCAGTCGAGACTGACTACGATATTGGGCTGAAGGCTATCGAACATCATTCCCATCTGGAAACCCTCCCTCTCTGCCTGCCTTCAAAATTTTTCCAAACTCAGCCTTATTTATATCCCTGAGCTTCTGAGGCAGCACTGAAGCTTTTGGTGAAACGGAAGCGCTGATGGCTGCTTCCGGTCTGCGGGCTGGGACAAGGCCACAGGAAGGGGGCGTGGGGTGGGCTTTATCCTGATGCCCACAGTGCAGTGACCTGGGCCTGAATCGTGCATCTGAATCAGTTCAGAGTGGGTGCAGGGGGCTGTCTCCTGCAGGGACTCTTCACCCTGCCTGCACCCCCAGGGTCTGACCTTAGTGTCTCCCTGCTGGAGGAAGACATCGAAGTGGACATCAACGTCGCTGGCCGAGCACACGATCTGGGCAGTCTCTCCCTGGATCCGCACCAGCTCCGAAGGCTCCAGTGTCAAGGTGGGTGGCCCTGGGATGACTGATGCAGGAGGAAAGATCCATGCACACCCAGGGTCGTCACTGCCACTGGCTCCCTCCACGTACCCCTGGATGTGGGCCTGTCCCCAGCCTGCCCCAAGCCTGGATGCCTCAGTTCCCCCAAACACCTTTAGACTCCTAAGTAGCCTAGGAAAGGCCACTTCCCTCCACCACTTCCTTTTTCTGCTCTGGACTCTTCCGGAAGCTGCCAGCTACACTCCCGACTCCCACTGCCCTCAGCAGCGTAGACTCCTTCCAGCAGAGTGAGTTTTTTAAAAATAAACTGAGGGGGCCGGAGTGATAGCACAGCGGGTAGGATGTTTGCCTTGCACGTGGCCAACCTGGGTTCGATTCCCAGCATCCCATATGATCCTCCGAGCATTGCCAAGAGTAATTCCTGCGTGCATGAGCCAGGAGTAACCCCTGTGCATCGCTGGGTGTGACCCAAAAAGCAAAAAAATAATAACAAATAAAAATAAAATAAACCGAGGGTCAGAAAGACAGCGGGTAGGGCACTTGCCTTGTATGCACCTGACACAGGTTTGATCTCTGGCACCCATTATGGTCCCCTGAGTCCTACCAGCACTGATTCCCTGAGTGTGAAGCTCAGGGATAAGCCCTGAGCACTGCCAGGTGTCCCCCTTCCTGAAACAAAACAAAACAAAAACAGAAACAAAAAATATAAATTGAAAAAGGTGACAGAGACATGGTGTAGGGGATAAGTGCACATGGTGCAGGCAGCTCCTGAGTACAGTGGCTGCAGCCTGGAGACTCCAGCACCATCAGAAGGCCAGCTGACCCCCCTGCAGTGCTGTCCCAGCAGGCCCGGCTTTGGCCTGCCGGTCTGAGAGTCACTGCAAGGTGCCAGTGTAAAGCACGTGCCCTCTGTGTGCTGAGACCCTGGGTCTGAACCTCGGCACAGTCAGAGACAGCTGGATCAAGCCTCTCTCCAGGGCTGCCCCTCGAGGCTCTCAGCGAAGAAAGCAAAGCCTTTCCCATACAGCCTTTCTCTCACCACACTGCGGCAGCCAGACAGGCCTCCCCCTGCCCTGCACCAGCCTTAGCATCTGCCAGTCCTTCTGGAAGGCTTGGCATCCCTACTCGGAAGGGGTGTCTATCCTCATCCTTCTGATCTTTCTTTTTTAAATGTATTATAATTTTTTAATTAGCATTCTTGTTTGTTTGGGGACCACCCTCAGTGGTGCTTAGATTACATGCAAGGCAAGCGCCTATCCCTATACTATTGCTCTGGGTCCCTGAGCTTTCTCATCCCGCACCCCTTGAGTTGTGGGGCCACACACAACGGTGCTCAGGACTTACTCCTGGCTCTGCGCCCAAGGATCACTCCAGGTGGTGTGATCAGGAATACAATGTGGAGTGCTGGGGATTGAACCCAGGTTGGCCACATGCAAGGCAAGTGCTTAAGCCCTAAGCTATCTTCCCAGCCCCATTTGTCTGATCTTGATCTCAAAAATTCCTCAGTGAATACTTCTGCACCAGTTTAGCTGATCCCAGCTAAATCCCAGCTGGCCACACGCATATGCAACTCTCTTGAGCTTGGTTTCCTGTTCATCAGCACGGCGTGTTGTGGACTTTTAAATCTGCCTGCCAGTAGGAAGACAGCTCCCCACCAGTGGTTACACGGAGCCTGACAAGTCTTGGAATTGTATCCAGTGACTGAAAGATGATCAAATCCTATCCTCCAGGTACAGAGACACCAAAGTCCTCATCAAGGTCACCACGGGTGACCACAGGGCCCAGAACTGCAAGGTGATGGGAGATGAGAGCCCTCGTGGCCTCCTCTTCCCACGTGGCTTCCAGTACCCACGGGAGAGCTGTGCTGCTGTGCTCTGCCCTGGATGCTGACCAAGTCCCAGCTCAAGACCCAGGACTCCAGATACAGAATCTAGCCACCACCCAGCGGGCAGGTGGGAAACGGGCTATTAGCCCCTGCCCCTAATAGCCTGTGTCGGGAGCTAGCCCTGCTCCCTCTGCTGCCTCTGGTTGCCCCACACCTCTCGAGCGCCCGGACCCAGCCACAGGCACACAAGTAGGTGATGAGTACAGTTGCCAAGCACTCTGGGGTGTCGAGAGCCCAGCCCAGCCCACCCCCAGACTCCCTGCCATTGCCCCTGGGCTGGAACTGCACTTCCAAGGTAACCTTCTCCTCCTCGCTGGCCCATCAGCAGAGTGAAGTATGTTTCATTTTATTTTATTTAGTTTCGGGGCCACACCCGGCGATGCTCAGAGGTTGCTCCTGGCTCTGTGCTCAGGAATCATTCCTGGCAGTGCTTGGGGATGCTGGGGGTTGAACCTGGGTAGGCTGCATGCAGGGGGAGTGACCTACCCACTGGACTATCTCTCTGGTTCCAGGGAAAATGGATTTTTTTTTTTTTGCTTTTTGAGTCACACCTGGCGATGCACAGGGGTTACTCCCGGCTCTGCACTCAGGAATCACTCCTGTTGGGACCATATGGGATGCTGGGAATCGAACCCGGGTCAGCCGCATGCAAGGCAAACGACCTACCCGCTGTGCAATTGCTCCAGCCCCCCCAAAATGGATTTTTTTTTAGCTTGGGGGGTCAGGTCCTGTCCTAGTCCTGCTTCTCCATTGCTGCATGACCACCATTTTTGAGGTCTGGGGAGGGGTGGGATGGGTTCTTCAAACTGCTCCCCTGCTGGGGTCCATACTGACCCTTCTTGTCCCCCCAGAGACCGCATGGAAGACCATGCTGGGATTGGAAGGAAGGTGAGAAGGAAGGGGGACTCCCCATGAGCCCCAGGCTCCCCGCCCCGTGCCCTACACACCTCTCTGCACTCTGAGGTCAATCCCAAGAGATGTCACCATCCTCTTGCCCATTGACACGCCACACTGGTAGGTCTGGCTCTCGATGAACTTGGCCTTGTGGATGGTGAAGCCATGCCAAGGGGAGAAGGAGTAGTTGGTTTGGCGCAGCACGGAGCGGTTTCGTGTCCTCATCAGCTTGACATGGCCCTCCATCTCAGGGTCAGTGAGCAGGCAGGGAATCAGTGCATCCTGGCCTTCCAGCACTGTCACTTCATTGACCAGTAGTCTCCAGGGCCTGAGAGGGTCTGCAGCAGAGGGACGTAGTCTCACCGCTGCCCTCCATCCCCACCGGGGGGAGCTCAGAGAAAAACTGTCCATCCTACGCCCCCAGAGGGAAGTTCAGTGGGGTCAGCGCACAGTGGACATTTCAGGACACAGAGCAGGTGGAAAACGGGCATAGTGATAAAATCTGCTCCTGGGATTCCTGGGAGGGTGGGAGTGACGCATACCAGGGTCCCCTGGGTCTGATGGGCCAAGGGTGGGCAGGGTGGGGTTAAATCCTCACCTTTGACATAGACATGGATGCTTGCGCTGCCACCTTGTGGGTCCCCAGGCTCCGTGCAGTGGTAGGTGCCCGTATTCAGGAAGCTGGCGTTGGTGGTGGTCAGGGTGCTGCTGGGGGCGTCAACATCCAGGGTCCAGTGGGGGAAGATGGGGCCGTCCCACTCCACACTGCCGTTCCCCACACAGCGCAGGCTCAGCGACATGCCGGGCACCACCACTACCTGGGGCCCGCTGGGCTCAATCACCGGGACCCCTTGGACTGAAGGACACAAGCCAGGCGTGAGTGGAGCCCCCCAAGAGGTGGGTTGTGGGGGCTGGGCTTCCCTGGGATTTGCAGGGTTACTTGGAAGAAGGCCTTGGCCCTCTCTGGGCATTCGCTCAGCCTCTGGGACCTTCCCCGATACATACTCAGGGGTGGACAAGAAATCTTGGGCAGGCAGCAGGCTCCCTTAACCTCCCAGCCTCACAGTGTACTAGAAGGGTCCCCCGGCCTCGTGGCAGTCCCCCCAGCTGGGACCACGCTGTTCGTCTCCCCAGCAGTGCTCAAGAGACCTCTCAGACAACCAGGCTGGTGGTTCAGTAACAAGGCCCCGGGGTGCTGTGCTGCTCAGGCCTGTGATGACAGGGATTATCTGGGTCACCCCAGCAGTGCTCAGAACCATATAGTGCTGGGGATAGAACGAGGGTCGGCCACATGTAGGGCTTAACCTTAACCCTTGGCCCATCCATCCAGGCTGAACCCAATCTCTTTTAAGGAAACTTTTCTTGAAGGAGAAAAGAGAACTTGAAACCCATGTCAGTCCCTCCGGGAAGCGGGCCTTGTGGCCTCTGCCGCGTCAGCACTTTTCTAGGGACGAAAATAGGGTGTGGGAGGGAAGTGAGAGCTGATTCAGGGCCCGGGGGGGCTGCCAGCCCCACCCCCACCCAACTGCGCAGGCGGAAACACATTGAGGGAGCTGTGCCCCCTGCCCCCCTGCTTCCGCCCGCTTGGCCCTTCTCCTAGGAAGCCCTCACTTCTGCTTCCTGACCCTGGCCACTGTCCCTTCTCCAGGCAGAGGGAACAGGGATGGGTTGTTGGCGGGGGTTGGGGGAGCAGAGACCACTGCCTGCTGGGCTAGACAATCCTGTGCTCCAGGGGTCCATCCATCCCCACTATCGTGGGCCTGGGAGGGAAGGTGGTCAGGGCTTCTCCTTCACCTTCCTGCTCCCAAGTCCAGCTTCCATCACCCCTCCTCAGACCCCAACTCTCTGGAAAGATCTCCTCAGGATGGCTTCATTTCTGGGGTGACTCGGTGGGAAGGGACTGCGGGAGAGGCCAGGCGTGCTAAGGCCCTCCTGAGGTGACTGGCGTCAGGCAGCTCCATCCACGGACCCAGAGTGACTCCTGCTCAGGGTTCCAGACTGCCAGCTGCTGTCCCGAGCATCCGACACGCCGACTCTGTTCCGCTTTTCCACCTACCCAGGCGCCTCGCTGCCCGCACCCCCGGTGGCGAGAGACTCTGTCCTATTTCACCCTATCCTGCTGTCCCAGATGTTCACGCAGGACAGGGCTGACACTCTCCACTTCTCCCCCAACTTCCTGCTGGCTGGCTGGCGGGAAGGCGCAACTGCTCAGCCCTGGCCTCCATGGCCTGTGTGGCACCCATCAAAGGTCCCTTTGTGCAAGTCCAATTTTACCCTCTTACCACAGCTCTCCAAAGCTCTGCAGGACCCCAAACTTTCACCCTTCCACTGTCTGACAGACACCTCATCAGCCCCCCCTTCACCCTCCCAGCACACTCACACACACACACACACACACACACACATACAGATACACTCATACTCAACCACAGACACAACACACACATACATATACCCCTAACTGCACTCATATATACACTCACAAACCACCCACAAACACAACCACACACATGCACTCACACACAACCACACACATAGGTACACTCATATTCAACCAGACACAACATACACAGAAATCATACACACATACCAAACAACCACACACGCCCCACACATACACTCACAACCACACACATACATACATACATACACTCCCACATACCACACACAGCCAAAAACACAAACACACATACAAACTCTCACAAACCACACACGCATACATACACACGAGCACGCACACACTTCCACACAACACACACCACTCACCTGCACACAACTACACATACTCTCACGCCCTCCTCTCTGAGGTACAGAGGGCCCTGTGCCAGTGGCAGGGAGAAGCCAACCTCTCTGGGCCTCTAGAGGGTGTGACAGCAGCCCCTGAACCCACTTATTCATCATACTCATGATGAGTATGTCCCCTCAACCCTCATCTCTTGTTCCCTCTGGGCTGGGGTGCCAGACAGGTGTGAGGGGCAGCTGGGCCCAGGCCATGCGACATCCCCAGATTGTCCGGAGCCAGGGAGTCCTTTGTCACACCTACTCAGATGGAAGCTGGGTTCGGGGCTTTGGGCCTAGGACAGCTCAAACCATCTGTGCTTCCTACTGCACACAGGTGGCTGACAGGTCAGAAGAGAGACCGTCCCTGGACCGCCTCCTCCTCAGGGGCCCAGGATGATGGGAGACCAGAACAGAAGCTTCCTTCCCACCCACCCCAGACCCCAGCCCCAGGCCTGCCCCAAGGCCCCCCAGAAAAATATTCAATAAAGTCTCCCGGCATAGGTTGGCCACCCTCTTCTCGGGGCTCTGCATCACTGCCACCGTTCCCCACCCTGAGGTCCTACAGCCTAGGTAGATGGGGTCTGGCTGGGAGACACTGGGTTCCCGTCAAGCCCTCCTTCAGCTCTGCATGTTTATCCCTTCAAATTCGCCTCTGATTCTCCCAGACCAGTGCAGCTGGGCTCTTGGCTCTCCTGATCGTGCCCCAGTTTCCCTACAGAACCCCTGGCAGCCCACACCCATGGATGGCAGGGACAGAGCTGGCAGCGGCCAGGGCTCACTCCCACCCTCCTCGCGGTGGCACTAGTATCCCCTGCAAACATGTTAGAAGTGCACAGTCAGGTCTGAGAGACCATCTAAGGGGTGAGCACAGGCTCTGTGGGTGAGAGGCCTGGGCTGCATCCCTGGCACCAAAGGGTCCCCAGAAATTGCTGGACACACCTCCAAATCAGGCTGGGAGAAGCCCCTAAACAATGCCAAGTGGACTCCCCACTGCACCCCCACATCCCCCAAGAAAGAAAGAAAAAGACAGAAGAAATACGTGCGGAGTCCCAAGCTGCTCTCGAGTACCACTAAGCCTGGACCTGCAGACTGTGGGTGCGCCCCTTCACCTAGCAAGCCACGACCCTTCCAAGCTGCGTCCTACCCCTCTCCCCTCTTTTCTCTCCACAGCCTCTCTGGAGCGCCACCCACCCCCCACCCCGCAACTGCCTGTCCAGGCCTGAGGAGATGCAACAGCCAGGAGAGACTGGGGAGGGGGGCGCGGTCCTCCCCCTCCCATACCCCTGTTTGGGGGCTTACCCCGTTTGGGGGCTTACCCCGTTTGGGGGCTTAACCCGCTCTACTCTTACCTTGCCACGCTGCAGCCAGCAGGGAGAGCAGAGCTGCTGGGCCCATGGCTCCGAGGGGCTGCGCTGCTGCGGGGCTGCGGTTCCCAGTGACCAGCACTGCTGGACAGACGCCCGCACACTGGGGCTGGGACTTGTTTTCCTCCTCCTCCTAGTTAGCGTCTTCCCCTTTTATCGGCGCGCGCGAGGCAACCGCAGGGTTTGGAAATCTTGGGTCTGTAGAAGAAAACAAAGCTGAAGCCCTCGGCGGGGGAGGGGCTGGCTTTGGGGAGGGCCAGTCTGACCAGGAACAGGGAGGGGGCACCTCCAAAGGAGATCCCTGGCAGAAGACACGCTCAGGGTCAGGGCAGCATTATAAATGGGGTTCTTTAGGGTGTCCAGCTGGCTTTGGGCAAGGGGACCTTGGCGGGTCTGGGGGGCCGGAGACCTCGGCTACTTCTCCTTACAGGACACTTAGCACCAGGCTCCCCATGGCCCTTGACTTGGGTGGTCACTCACTCCTCATAACACATGGGAGGCTGAAGCCCAGACAGAAAATACCCTGGCCATGGTGACCATCACCAATGGGACATGTGGAGTCCACAACCAAGCAGCTGGCTGTAGATGGTTTCCTCAGTGGATTATTTTTTGCAAAATGCTAATTTTTAGAAAGTCTATTAGATTTATTCAGAAAGTTAGCATTCCTCTAGACCCTTTTTTCCTAGACTTTCTCTTGACTCTTTCATTCAGGCTTTCAGGATTTCCCTTGCTTTTTAGTGTGTGTTTGGACCACGCCTGACTCAGGGCTTACTCTTGGCTCAGTACTCACGGTTTAGTCCTGGCAGGGCTATGGGATGCTGAGATTTGAACATGCAAGGCAAGCACCCTACCTGCTATACTATCACTCCAGCCTCTAGTAGCTTTCCCTTGTATTTCTAAACATCATGGTATAAAGTTACTGCTAGAAACGAAAAAGCTGCATTTCACATTGATCCAGGAAAAGGCTCATTATTCCATGCACTCGGTAGGGCGTTTGCCTTGCATGCAGCCGACTCAGCCGAGCCGGGTTCGATTCCTCCGCCCACTCTCAGGCCTGGCAAGCTACCTGTGTATTCAATATGCCAAACACAGTAACAACAAGTCTCACGATGGAGACTTTACTGGGCCCGCTTGAGTAAATCGATGAATAACGGGAGGACAGTGACATTCCATGCACTCAGGCATATGCAATGTATTTTACGCATCTTTAATTTTTATTGGGGATTTGTTGCCTTACAAGATGCAAATGTTTCTAAGTTCTGGGGACTCACTGCTGTCACACAGCAGCCCTCACCACAATGCCCACATCCCCCCACGCCCCCCCACACACACATGTTCGACCCTCTGTCCTTCTCCCTGCTCTCCCCCCTCCCCTCAGCTCTGTGGTCAGCGTCCACAGACTTGTTTGCAGTGGACATGGTCTCTTCCCTTTCTTTGTTTCCATACATAATGCACATGAGTGACGTCATCCAGTATTTGTCTTTCTCCTGTTGAGTTATTTCTCTTCGTCAGCTCCCTTTCCAGCTAGAGTAGCAAAAGGCCTGGCTTCATCTTTCTAAAGACAGAATAGTGTTACCTGGTATACATATATTATATGCCTCTGGTTTTGAGACTGGAGAGATAGTACAGCGGGTTGGATGCTGCTTGCTTTGCATGTGGCCAGCCCTGGTTCAACCCCCAGCATCCCACAGGGTCCCCTAAATACCACCTGGAGTAATACCTGAATGCAGAGCCAGGAGTAACCCCTGAGCTTCACTGGGTGTGGCCTCAAAGCAAAACAATTTTCTTTGTTTTGGGAAGGGGTCTCCCAAGCCATGCTTGGCTGGCTACCTAGACAGCTTAATGCTCAGGCCCAGTGATACCGAGGGTATGCAGAGCTATTCCCTACAGCGCTGGGGTGTGGGGGCATTTGGTGCCAGGGCTTAAATTCAGGTCTCTATTATATGCAAGGCATGGGACCCTGACGCCAGACCTCTTCCTGGCCTCCTGTCACAACTTCATCATCCAGTTCTCTGTTGTGTGTGTGGACTGATTTCAGATCTTGGCTGTGATGAACATAGGTGTGTACTTATAGGTTAGTTTCCTACTAATGCTTGTGTGTTCTGGGGACAGATAGCTAGCGTAGAACTGCTAGATCAGATGGTAGCTCTACTTTTTTACATTTTAAGAAAGCTGCTTGCCACAGGGCTTATGGACGTTTCCACCAACAGTGAATGAGGGTTCCTGTTTTGTACTTCTCCCAGCACTGGTTACTGCTGGCCCTTTTGGTAAAGGTCATTCTCACAGATGTGAAGTGATGCTTCATAGTCATTTTAATTTGCATTTCCTTGATATTAAGTGAAAATGAGCTTCCCCCCCCCCACATATCTCTTGGCCATCCATATATCTTCCTTGGAGAATTGTCTCTTCGAATTTGTCCCCATTTATTTGAAGGAGTTGCTTGTGTTTTTGTTGGTTTTGAGTTCTGTGAGATCTTTATATATCTTAAATTTTAACACTTTGTCAGATGTGATATGCAAATATCTCCCCCAGTTGGGTAGCATATTGGATTTTTTTGTTGTTGCTGTTCTTTTAATGATAGTTTTTTTCATTGTGCATAGGTTTTTCTTTTTTCATGTAATCCCAAATATTTATTTTAGAGTTTTTTTTCTTGCTGATGGAGTAGAACTCTGGAAGGCACCACTGAAACCATTATTATGAAGTGCTTTGTCTGTATTTTCTTCAGTTGTTTGAAACCTCTCATGGTTTCAGATCTTATATTTATGTCTTTAATCCATTATGAGTTAACATTTGTACAAGGGATGAGATTGTAGACCTATGTCATTTTTTTCACGTGGCTAATCAGCTTTCTCAATACCATTGTGTTGAAGAGATTTCTTTATTTTATGCTCTTAGCTCCTTTATCATAAATTAGCTGCAATATTTGTAAGGATTTATTTCTGAGTCCTCAGTTCTCTTTCATTGATCTGTTGGTTTGCTTGGATTTCAATACTAAGCTGTTTTGATGACTGTAGCATCATATTATGTGTAAAGTTAGGGAAGGTGATGTCTTCCATTCTTTATTCAGAATTTCTTTGATTATTTGAGATCTTTTCTGGTTCCATAAAAGTTTTAGGAACATTACTCTATTCCCTTGAATAATGCCATGAGAATTTTGATAGAGATGTAATGAATTTGCATAATGCTTTCAAAAGGATCATTTTAGCAATGTTAATTCTCCTAATCAAAGAACAGGGAATATTTTCCCATTTCCTTGAATCTCCTTCTCCTCATTCCTCTTTCCTCTTTTCTTCTTCTTCTCCTCCTCCTCTCCTTTTTCTCCTTCTCCTTTTTCTTCTTTTCCTTCTCCTCTCCTTGTATATAATCACTGTCACTGTCACTGTCCTCCCGTTGTCCATTGATTTGCTCAAGCGGGCCCAGTAACATTTCCATTGTGACACTTGTTACTGTGTTTGGCATATCGAATACGTCACGGGTAGCTTGACAGTCTTTTGCCGTGCGGGCAAGATACTCTCGGTACCTTGCTGGGCTCTCCAAAAGGGGCAGAGGAATCGAACCTGGGTTGGCCAGTTCCGCCGGGTGCAAGGCAAACACCCTACCTGCTGTGCTAAAATTATTTTTCTTTAGTTCATTGTTTTGCATGCAGAAATGCAAGAGATTTTGATTTTAATTAATTTATTTTTGGGGTCACACTCTGCGATGCTCAGGGGTTACTCCTGGCTCTGCCTTCAGGAATCACTCCTGGTGCTGCTCAGAGGACAAAATGGGATGCCAGGGATCAGACCGGGGTTGGCCACATTCAAGGCAACCTACTGTACTATCACTCTAGCCCCGATTTTGTATTTAATTTTAAACTGTTTAATATCTTTAGGACTGGAGTGATAGCAAAGCAGTAGGGCGTTTGCTTTGCACGCAGCCAACATGGCCAACCCGAGTTCGATTCCTTCACCCCCTCGGAGATTCCGGCAAGCTACCGAGAGTATCTCGCCCGCACAGCAAAGCCTGGCAAGCGACCCGTGATGTATTCGATATGCCAAAAAACTAACAACAAGTCTCACAATTTGTTGTGAGATGTTACTGGTGCCTGTTCGAGCAAATGGATGAACAATGGGAGGACAGTGCTAATATCTTTATTTTATTTTGGTTGGGAATCACACACTGCAGTACTCGGGATATTCCCCATTTTAATCCACAAGTGCAATATGTGGTGCCAGGGACCGAACAGGGGTCATCTGCACACAAAGCTAGTGCACCTCACCTCCAGTACTGTCTTCTTACCTCCTGTACTATCTCTCTGGCCCTTTTGCGTACTAATTTTGTGGACTGATACTTGATGGCATTGATCTCCTGATTCTAATAATTTATTAGTAGAATCTCTAGGAGTTTCTCTGTCTGTTATCTTGTCATCTGAAAAATAGAGATAATTTTACTTCCTTCCTGTTCAGATTCTGTTTCTGTTCCCCTCCCCTTTCCTTCTGTTGTTGCAATAACAGGGGGAGCACATTTGGTGGTGGTGCTCACTTTCTAGGTTCTGGTGCTCCTGAGGGCTGTACTTTTTTTGTTTTGTTTTGTTTTTTTAGTCTTATTTATTTATTTTTTTTAATTTATTGAATCACTGTGGGAAAAGTTACAAACCTTTCAGGTTTAAGTCTCGGTCATGCAATGATCAAACACATTTCCCTTCACCAGTACTTATTCTTCACCACCAAGAACCCCAATATACCACCCCTCCCATCCCTCCCAATGCCTAGATGAATTCTAATTAACACTCTATCTACTTTGATTAGATTCATTGTTTTGACAAAAGATGCACCATTATTGTTTAGAGTTTGCACCCCAAAATCAGACCTGCTGAAAAGGCATTGTGAAATAATTTGTTTCCTACAGCTGGTTACAAGAACCAAATGATGTTGCGTGGCCGCAATAGCAGCCGAGCGATTTTGGATTTCTGATATTTTACTTATTAAGCCTGGAAGTATTTCTGCCGAGAGCCAGATAATTATGAGATTGGTTTCTGTGGCTCTGGAGCCATGGCCGTGCCAGAGAGCTGCTCGTGGGGGGCAACTTGTGACCTTGGTAGGGTGTGAAGGATGAGCCAGGAACGCCCCCCTTCCCATGAGGTTTCAGTTGTCCCATCA